TTTTGATCCGTGAGAGAATATTAAAATTATTCGAAATAAAGAGCTGTTTATATGATCATTATCGACCAATTGAATATATTTATCGTAATAAAATCGTGCATTTTATAATTATGCGGGTCAGTGATCGAATAAACGTCATTTTTGTCTATTTCGATGGACGCAACATTTTTTGCGCATGCAATAATTCCTTCGTAAATTTATTTACTTCAAAAAAATTTCTAGAGGAATATGTATATAATATTATATGCAAGTAGTAAAATAATAATTTTTTGATGATAATTTAATAATAAGATATATTTATGACGCATTTTTGATTATTTTTTACACTTGGCATTTAGCTCCGAAAAATATATATATCTATATAATTCTTTGTCTTCATAATTATATCAATATGAATTTATATATATACTTTATATAACCTTATAGAAACCAACAAAATATATAAATAAAATTAATATGATACAAGCGCAAATAAAAAAAATATAAAAAATTTTTTAAATCGTATATCAATATTCAGCGTTAAATGCAAAATGTAAATCAATATTATTTTCAAAGTATAATCACGATCTCGTATTTACTTTCGTAGATACACAATTTTTTAACCACAAATATTTATACACAATATAAAAATTACGAGACGTCGAAAAAAGCTATGCTCCTTGAAAAAAGAACTAAAAGAAAATTTTTATTATTGTAAAGTAAAAAATATTAAATCTTTACAATCGGGAAATTAAAAAAAAAATTGTTGCAGTGTCTTATTCGATTCTTAAATTGAGATAGTGTCATTTATTGAGATAGTATGATAGAGTATTTTGGAATTTTAAAAATTAGAAATTCTTTCATGCAATTTTACAAATATAAATATGAATTCTTATAAATTTATACAAATTATTAACTATTGTTTGGTTCGTTCTAAAGTGAATTTCGTGAAATAGTCTAATTCATGAATTAAATGTGCACAATTTTTAGGATACAAGAAATTATATCGCTTTAGCTACATTAATTCAACTTGTCAGTTTTTTTTATTAATTTACTTTAGTATTGCTGTCCGCCAATTCATATTATGTATTCGCATATAATTATTTTCTCAAATTTGCACACCGAAAAATAAGAGAATGTCATAATCAAATCTTTTTAAACACATGTTTATTTAACAATTTTCCACAACGTTATGAAAGATACACTATATTAATAAAATCGTAAATAAGACATGTAGATTTTTCTGTACATAGAAACTGCACACAAAAAATTATATGCGAATACTTTTTAATTTTCACGCTGATTATACAATTACATAAGGATTTGATTACGAACAATTCATTTTTTCGTGATTAAAGAGTCGACATACTGTAAGTTTTTCGAAAAGCTCATTATTCTGTTTTCTTTCACAAATTACTATCATAGATATAAAAATAATGATTATTATTTATTAAAAAATTGTTTAAACTACTATAATACATCCTACTTACCTACTGATAAAAATATTTGCTGTCAAAAGATTAACATAATTAATTAAATGAATTAAATATATTTAATATATATATAATAATATATTTAAAATATATATTATATATAATATTTATATTTATTATTAAATATATAATATAATTTAATAATATATTTAATTTAATTATTACATTTGATTGCGTATATGATGCATTCAATCAAATATAGTTTGTTATTAAAAATTATATATAGACACAGATTTCGCCAATTTTATCAATCTCAAAAATCAAGTTTAATTAACTATGTACTTGGAATGTTACAACTGTTACACCTTTATCACTTTATCACACTCTTTGCTATTTGTTAACTTAGTATTTTTGTATATAGTTTTCTCTGCAATTCTGTTGTATCAGAGAAATTTTGTTATATCAGAAAATTCGAAAAAAATTTACAGTAGCTACTCTATAAAACGTAGAAGAGTAGAAAAAACTCTTGACAATTTTATCATTGCTTAAATATGAATAATTTTTTTTTTGCTAGACGTTATACAACCGAGAATGTATTTTAGACGGCTGTCAATTTTGTACTTTCCATAGTATTTCTGAAATATCCTCTCTTTCTCTCTCTTCGCTATGTCTGCTTAAGAATTGACGTACCTAATTGTTCTCCGATAATCTAGAATACGGAATATTCAATTCTATTAACAGTAATGTTTTTTATACGCTGTGTAATTATTGCTCGGCATAAATAGCCTCTCTCACGCTATAATCGACGCTCGCAGTCTCCATCAATCACACATAAGTTGTAAACTCCAGTAGATTATTATACTGGAGACATGTGTATGATATCATAAATAGTCTCTTTCTATGTACATAGAATTATATAACATACTTAATTTATTAGTATTTACAAATACACATAGCTTCGTCAGATTGTGTATAAAATAACTTTCGTCCACGTGAAAGTTTCTTCTCGAAAATTAGTTTTTTTCGAGAAAAAGTTTATTCCATTTCACATACGCGCTGTATACGTGATTTTACCATTTCTCAATTTGTCATTTAGAATCTTTTCTGAGCAATATCGTTTACATCTGTAAATTGATGGATCGACAAAAATTACAATATATTCGTGAATCTATAATCGAAAATCTTATAATTTTATGATCTTACATATGGCTTTACCGCACCTGTCGCAGCACGATCCGTTTCTGTTGTTACATCGCTATTTAATGACTCCGGTAGTTTAACTTTGCTGACTCGTTGAGTTTCCATTTCAGACAGAGTCGCGAACATTATGCTGGTGGAATTTTTCAATCCATTATACGATTGTTCCAATTGCTTGAATTTATTGATTAGTTCTACATCCGTCGCACGTATCTCGTTCACCTGCGTCAATCATTATTAATGTTAATAACTAAAGAGTTTAACTAAACATTATCGTTCAGTAGGATCTTTAAAAGCGTTCGATACACACCTTTTCCGTTAATTGTTGAATTGATGCTAAAACGGAAGTTTGTTCAGATACTTTAACGCATTCTCCTTGTAAAGACATCACTGTCGTGTTAATGGCTGCAGTTGCTTCTTGAAGCGAGACTAGCTTTCTCTTCACATATGAAACATATATACATTTATGATCGATACATTTTATCTAAGCATATATATATATACACACACACACACATATATGTATATATGTACACGCTATTAAATTGACAGTATACACTTACGCGATCTTCATCTTGATCGTCGGCAACCCATTGCAATTTGCTCGACAAGGTTTTGTTAATATGCGTTAGATTATTCATTAAATGTGATATTGTAAAGTTTAGTTTGTCAGTCTTAACTTGCGTTTCGTCGGTACTCAAAATTTGAGGCTTTTGAGTGACATTCGACAATTCTACCATAGATTGCTAAAAACAGATACGTTTGATTAATTAATTTGTCAATATTTTTATATTTAGAAAATAATTGTCACTTCTAATATCGATTTTTACCTTAATACTGCTGACGTTTTGCTGCATAGCAGTTTGCGCATCTTGTATCCTTACATTTGTCTCTTTTAAAGTGTCCACCGTAGCTCCCAGATCTCTTATTTGACTACCGAAGGTCGCGACGCTAGCTGACAGTTCATTTAAGCGTTTCGGCAAGTTGGCCATTTCGGGCGCGGCTTGGAAGTAATCCTGCACTTTATGCAAGTCCTGTTGAATGTGTGCCAGCTGCAAAAGTATTGATCCGAAAAAGAGCATATGAGTCATCTCTACCAATATCCCGGATCAGATTATTAATCGACGTTACTCTCGCGCGATTTTTACCTGTATCGTAGAATTATTTATTTGCTGTTTGAGATCAGATAGTCTGGCGAAAATAATCGATTGATTATTCTGAAGGTCTCTCGATAACGAATGACATTTCTGCAAAGCATCCGGCACACCTTCGCTGCCCGCTATCACTGTAATTTTACGACAGAGTTATATATGTACATTAACATAACATAAATTTAAATTTAAATATTCTGTATGAAAGGTTCTAATTAAAAATATGTTTACAAAAATTATTTTTCATAATATTAAATACAGAGATATAAAAATGTAAGTGACACTTCGAGCTCATATTTATTTGTACGTTTGCATTTTCGATTAAATACACATTTTTTTCTTCCACAATGCATAGCTTAAATCAATCATTTATAATCACACGAAACATGTCGCCGTATATATCTTTGCAAATGTTAGACCAGTACCTTGGTCTAACTCGGTTCGTAGAGCGGTAAGCTGTTGACGAACGTCGATGAACAGCCATATTAAACTAGCGGTCGCTAATACGGAGGCACATGCCAAAAAGGCGTTGCAAGCCTTGAAAAATCCAGGACAACCTCGACCTCGTCTACCTCTGCATTTACGACCGCCTCTGGTAGAAACGTTCCGGAGTATTCCAGAGTACTCCGAACGATCATCGCTGCTGTCTGTTAACAACTCCTGGGAAAGATGAGAAAAACAAACAAATTGAAAGAAAATCAACTCGCAACATTTTATATAACAATATTTTATTATTTCTTATCCTTTCTTCTTATAATGTTAATCATTGTTAGACAAAACAGAATGTTCTCTATTCAATTGTTATCTATTCTTATGTGACTCATTCTTTTATCTCAATTTCAGGTTGAATCGATATTTATATCAGTATGTATATCAAATGAATTCGCGGAAAAGAGAGTATATCAGTTAATTGATTTGTATGCTTGCAGGTTGTTGAGGAATTGTTGATGTTTCTGACATTCCTGGATATCTTATCGCAATGAAGAGTCCGTCTTCGAGAATTTGTCTGGATTATTAATCACCTGGGAGCTGCGTTTGCCGGAACTTCGACGGGAAACGGCGTGCGCCGGTGCAAGAGCGTCGAGCTCCTTCCGCTTCTTCATCTTCTTCATCGGCTGACGAAGCGGCACCGTCACTGCCACCGAGTCCATTTCAAGTAATACCACGCCACCTATCTTTTTAGAATATCTTCGGCGTGACTTCTCCCCAGGTATTTACACTTCACTTCTGGCGTTTCCTGAACACCACACGATCATCGCGTGGAATCCTTGATCGATCATTGTCAATATTGAGCAACTGTTCGATTAAAAACGGCACTGCGTGCACTTATAGAGAAAGACTCGTGCAATGTCTCAAAATAACGTAGCTGCTCACGAGAATTAATCAAAAGGCTTTTGAAGAGAAACCTCACGATTAGTCTACATTTTCGTCTTCGACTTTCGCACTCTTAGAACTTGTCAGTTCGCACTTTAATTAATTTGGAGTTTTCGTTGTCTGAATCTTAAACGCGCCACATATATCTATAACATGTGATTCATGTCGTTGATGAATAATATAATAATTGTGTGTGATATGATTGAGTTATTGCTACCAAAATTTTTTTAAGACAAAGTTTCTGGTGTTTATAAAAATTGTGCTTTCGGTGGCTCTTGAGAAACACAAATGTCGTTGAAAAACGTAGTGGGTTATCAAGATAAAACACATTAACGCAATAGATAATTCCTCAAGATAACTTTTGATAAGCGCGCTTGAATTAATAGCACGATTGAGCTAGGTAGATATCAGAACTATAATTCGATATGACTATATGCAAAAATTATAAGCGTCGATGGATTCTAAAAAATCGCGAACGATCCAAGAAATATAATTTTAATTAACTGACGAAGCTACTTTACTACAGATAATTGGGAGACCTGTTTACTATTTTACTGACTCGCCAATTGTTTACAGCTGAAGAGCCAGATCATAATAAATTCAATTAAAACGTAATTAGTATTTTATTATCACAGAGATAGCAGCACACGATAAGTAATACACAACAATACGTCGCGATTAAACCGCACCACTATTTCTTACATCATAATTCCGAAAAAGCTAGAGAGAAACCGGTATAATTTCGGCGCAGAATTACATAATTTTTATATATGTAGATGTACGAAAAAAAATGAAACGGTTACATCAATCACTTCTATTGTCACCAACCGGATAGATTATTTTCACGTGATTACGTGTCGCGGAAGTCCTACATCGTTGGAATTATACAGATTTTAATATATGCGGATTATATATAAATGTATATACAAATTTCAATATTAATTCCGAATTTCACAGGCGCGGAACAGTTGTACTTCGCACGTGCCGAACATCGCACCGACATATCCCTCACTGAAGTTTTATCAGCCGGCTGACACTTTGCCAGCCGCGGTAGTCTGCGGTAGCAGCAGGTGAATCGCGCACGCGATCGGAAAGCTGGCACTAAATTGAACGCACGTGACACATGGTCATCAAAGAGATCTTACCGGTGCACGCGGACGACTATTATGCCTTCAAGTGAGAGAATAACAGCGTAGAAATTGCTCGACCACGACGACGACGAAAAGACAGACAGAACCCACTGATAAGAGCAATCGTTGTCGGGGCGTTAATGTTTTCAAGGCTCTTTTTTACAATTCTCTAGTAAAAGCAATAAATATAATAATGTGAAATGTTATTCCATGTTTCGTCATCTTGCCGAACACAATCTACCGTCTGTATCTTTAACAAAATTTAATACTACTTAATATTGCAATTTAATAATTTCATGATCTATTTTAGAGTTGACATTTTATTTTATTGTGGAGAGTACTTATTTTTTAACAAATTTATATCCACAATGCAAATTGTCGTCTAAAGGCGAAAGAGAAAATTATAATCTCAAAGAATTACAGTCTTGAAATTAACTTTAGAAATTAATTAGATATAAGAAAGAGAGAGAGAGAGCAAGAGACCGTAATAAATTATTAATGTTTTATTGTGAGCCGCAAAAAAAATTATACTTTTTGTTTCCACACACACACACACACATTTCGCGATTGAGACCGAATCATTTAAATCCGAGACGATAGCGTTATCTTGACATTTAAATTCGTTGGCATTGATATTGAACTAATAAAATTACATATTCTCCAATTACAGTGAAGTATCGAAAATTTACATTCGCAAAAAGATATTCTCTCGCTTGAAGGCCGTTTAAAGGCCGTTTGTCCCGCGATCTATTAAATCGAAGAGATTTAAAGAGCTTCTAGCGTGATGATACGACGGTCGTTTGAACGGAAAGATGTCGGCGACACAATTACGTCTGCGGCCCTGAGCTCGATAAGATACCGATATGAGAGAGGAAAAAAACGTATAATTTTGTTTGTCGTAAGCACGCATAGTTTCAGTAGTTTTATATATATATATATATATATATATATTTAATATTTAAATTAAATATAATATAACACATCTAACAAAACGTATATATTTGACTTAAATACTTATATATGTTCAATTAACAAAATAGTAATTTAATTGAAAGATTTAATCAAATTAACACAAGATTAAGAAGTCTTCAAAATTAATATGCAGCTTTTATTGCTAATCAAATTAGCGGTTTTATATATGTTTTATGACTTTATAGGGATGCTATAACTTTATAAAATATAAGAAAAATTCGGTGATCAGAAGAGTGACACTAGCTTTATGTAACGTCGCGACACGTGTTCATATTATAGTTTTTTTTAAAAACTTCAAAAGAATTACATTCACGCGATAGTTTCGAAATATTTGAGTATATTTTGTGATGAATACGAAGATATGCAAATATGCTGATTTTTACAGAGTTGACGAAAACAGAGACGTAATTTTGTCGCATAACATATACAAAAAGAAGACATCCGATTATACTTTAATGTCATTAATTCCGTTTAATTCGTTACGTTCGCGATGACTAAATATTCTTCGTTAATCTAGTATAATTAAGTTGCGTGACTGCGTCTCTGTGTTATCGCGTGTATATCTTTCGCAGTATTTTGAAATGCTTATTGCATGTCACATTCGAAGGATACGACAACGCGCAAACGAAGAAAGAAACACATGTATCTGTAACATATTACGCATCGCGATTAATAATAACCCGTTAATTAAGCCGGTACTTAATCATTTGTTCGCGCGCAAAAATTTTTATCGCATAATAGCAGCCGGTTGATCTCATCGCGATTAATTAATATTTCCTTCTATACACGTGGAATTTTTTCATTAGGATCTTCCATGTAAATTAATACATTTTCACATAAATTATCGCAAATTATTTATATCTAATTACTCGAAAAAAAATATTTTAGTGTCATATAGCATTAATTTATATAAAAGACAAATCCTGCAAATATACTAAAGAGTACAACAAAAAATAGTTTAAAATTAAATAAAATAAATATAAGAGGCGATGAACAAAATATAAATTAATTAATTAACTTTTTCCTAATTATTTCCACCGGAAAAGATTAACTCTAAATTCGTAATCTCTAATTAATAATTTATTATCGACTATGAGAGCGTGTATCTGAAATCGAATATCGGAGCATACGTTAATTAAATTTCGAAAGCAGAAGAAAGAGTCACGGAAGCGAGATATATCGACGATATGTCAACTCGAGAAGCCAGCGTTTCTATATATGTGCGTGTGTTCAAATATTTATTGCACTTGCGTCAATAGTGAGAGGTACAGTCGCGTTCTCGCACTTAACGATGATAAATCGCGTGTATCTTGTCCTCCACTCTTCTCCTTCCATCTTAATAAAAAAAAGAATAAAAAAATAAAAAGAGACCAGTAGGAATCATAGAATAAAAAAAAAGTGACGTGAATTTTTGTATTGTATTTTCTCGCCGTGCGCATTTGACGTCGATCATGTTGACATTGAACGTGCGATTGTATTATTATTGGCTATCGAGCGAATAATATAAAAGTCAGACTCGGAGAAGGTCGTATTTATACAGACCGCGAATGCAAAATTATGTTAATGTTAAACAGACATTTTTATGCTCCTCATAATCGTCTCGCAGAAGGTTTAATCTTCATTCAGTCCTTATCCAATTCACCGCTTTCTAATGTATTTTGTAAACGATTTCTTTCTAATTTTGCTCGCATTAAGATTATATTTGTCTAAGCAATTAATATTCTCCCCATGTTAATTTTGCTCTTCAAATTGTTTCATTCTCTTCCATTTAGTCAAATCCTATCCTCGTCCTTCCGGCAGCTCCCACTTTTAATAACGCGCGGCGAGAGAAATAAAGGGATTCGAGGAAGAAAAAAAGTGAAGGACCAGGAAGAGTGGGAGAGACGAGAGCTCTCATGTATGCAGAACTTGACCTACGAGGGGGATGAATTATAGAAGCGATTCTCTAATCGATTGCCGCGCGAACGGACGGAAACGGGCGGACGGCGGTGGCGTTTTCGCTTATCCGACGATGATCCTGACGAGAGATCCGCGCCGATTTCGGATTATTTATTCTCCGTCTGGATGCTTAGGCGAACAATAGAATTACACGAGGCACACCTCGGCACACGCGACGAAAATTCGCGACGAAGAGCTCGGCGATATCATAAAAACGGCGGCACTTTGCCAGCTGCGCCGTCGTCTGATATCGACTGGCCGAGGGTTGGTAGGCGACTGAGGTCCGCTGGGGGGTTTCTCTCTGATAAGAATGCATCTACGGCTCATAGGGAATTTCAAACGGCGCCGCCGCGCCGAATTTGATAACGTCGCGAGTCAAAGTTGTTGATTGTTATTATCATTATTTATCAGCTGATTTTTAGTACAATTCCTCTTTAATCACCTAAGAAAAATTGCAGGATGAATGATATAATAATAGTGATTAAATTAATTAAATTATATAATAATGATTTGCGCGAATTAAATTTATGAGAAAAGTGATAGGTATGATTTTGATCATAATTTTGGTAAAATGATAATAGAAATAATTATATTACGTTACGCGCTAAATTTATCTATTTAATAAGTTAGATTTACCTGTTCTTAAAATAAATTTAGACAAGATAAACAAAGAATAAAAATTAATGTGTAACTATTATGATTAAGGTGATTTTCTAATTTGAGTAAGTCACACATTTTTTATAATATATATATTATCTCATTGGAATTTTCATATATCATATAATTGTTCGTTTAAATTAAAATGAAAGATTTGACTTTCTATACATCAATATATGACCAATGATTATGAAAGAAAAAAGGGAAGTATAATGAAAGAGATAGGAAGTATATACATAGCGGATGATATTCAATGCAATTAGATTTAATTAGAACCTTTCACACTTTAATTTCGTGCATGACACAATTCAATTGACAATTCTTACTTACCAGATAATAAGCTTGTTATGCGATTCAAAGTAGTATTTACCTGACTTTAAGGATATATCCATTTTCTTAATCTCGCCATACAATATAGTTGCCAGCCAAGATAATGCAATTAACCAAAATGTGATTAATATTGCCGCCAACCACAGAGACACAACGCGTATACCCGCCTTATTACATCCACAAGAATTATTATGGCTTGTCCTAGACAAGATCCGTGATCTCTGCCGCCTGTAATTATGTAAATTAAAAAACATTGCATTTTTATTTAAGAAGCTACGATCTTAATTGTCCAATCTCTTATTTATTTATAAAGTACAAATTATTATTTATATATAATCATATATATTTTTATATATAAATATATGTATAAAATTTAAATATATAATTATAATATAAATTAATACACATATATACTTATACATAAATTATATGTGTATATAATATATTTATTTTTTATATATTTTATATACAAAAGTAGAAAAACAGACATCAATTTTTTGAATATGTCAACAAACCAACCGTTTGACTTTCTTCTTTTTTGAGGTGGGAGGATCAGATCGGCGCTGTCAGAATTGCTGTCCGATAACAGATCGAGCAAATTGATGATCTCCTTGGAATTGGACTCCTTCATTCTCGTCGTGAACATGTGTCGTGTGTCATGAACTGTCAAAATCGTCGAACAGTCGTGGCCGATGTAATGTCATAACCTCTACGATTTATTATGTGCTACAGTCACGAATGAGCTATGGTATGATAATTCTATATTATCCCTTTTCACTCTCTTCAGAAATTTCTCTTTAAATCTCTTCAGAATAATTGTATATAATTCTATGTACTTTACGAGTTAGGGAATGAAATGTAACTTGCACTTGTCACAACATAACCTGTACAAATTAATCCTTTCAAATGTAGCTTCTCTTCTTTTCTTTCCAGATTCTCCTCCTTTTCCCTCCGCCTAATAGTCGGCTATTGATGCGACATCTATCGTCATCTTCAGGAAATTTCTCTCAAATGTCAAATTTATCCGTGGAGTCTTTGTTTCCTAACAATGGTGGATACGTTCCAACTAACATATATTATTTTGCACTGGAAAAATCTTCGTTTGCGATATTAAAAAACATAAAGCAGGTAAAAAAACAGATATACAGATACTTAAAAAAATTATATATAATATGGACATATAGTAGATAAGTTCTAAAGAAAATATTACTTTACAAATTGATGAACAATAAAATAAATCTTTTTATTACACTATATAAGTTTCTTGGTGGAAAAAAATATAGAAAAATATGTTTAAAATATTTTATGTTAAAATATGTCATGCTACATCAGAAAGTAGAAAATAAGAGTTAGTTACTAATTTATAATTATATATATATATATATATATATATATATATATATCTACATAAACAATAATTATCGATTGCATATTATTTAATAGTTATATTTATGAAATTGTTTAAATGTATAATAACAATTTTATGAAATCAATCAAAATTAATATTGGACGCTAGTAGTGAAAATAATCTTGGTAAAATTAATTTCGACGTAACTAGAAATTTTATTCAATAAATTCACGACGTTTCGACCATTTGGTTGTGGTCCTTATCAAGTGAGAATTCCATCAATTAAAATGCGATTAGCACAACAGAAAACCGATCTTATTTAAAATTAATAGTTAAAAGAGGAACACTTCTCATCTCCATGATGTTTTGTTAACGACGTCAACGGAGTCACTTGATAAGGACCACAACCAAATGGTCGAAACGTCGTGAATTTATTGAATAAAATTGCTAGTTACGTCGAAATTAATTTTACCAAGTTAACTTTATAAAAGTTATTTATACGACAACAAAAGCGCAAGGCAGAGAAAAAAAGACATAAAAGAAATAATTTTATAATTGATTTTAAGAATATATATATAAAAGAAAATATATATACAGATATGTTTTTAAAATAAGATAAATTTTCGAATTTTTAAAATTTTCATTAATTTTTCGTAAACTACACTAATATATATAGAGATTCGAGATTTCTTCAGCTTGCACAATGCGCTCGATATAGTTATTCAGAAATTTTATATTAGAAAGATATCTTGATAAATTCCATATGTTAAATTATCAAGTATTTATTACAAAATCTCACGCTGTCGTCTGGCCGTTTGGTTGGCTGGATGTGACACAGCCGAATTTCAAACAATATCAGCTATGCCGACATCTTGCCTCCTAGACGTCCAGTTATAAATATAAGAAAAAGAGATCATTTTATATATATTTAACTGCGTAAGATATAAAAGATGTTTTTTAAATAATCGGAGAAGTTTTTTCTCTTTTACTTACATCGTAACTAAATATAAATTTTTACATACACAATTAACTTCTCTATTTTCTTTAGATTTTATAAGAGTTATATTTCAAGATAAGATATATTTATTTCTTCCTGTCAAACACGTGTGTTTAATAAAATAATTATTTTAAAAAATACAAAATAATCGATAAAAAAATATTAATCTAAGAAAGAAAAGTATTATATTTGCATTGCATGAATATTCGAAATTTATATATATATATATATCAAAATATTTCATCTTATTAAAAAAATTCAATAATATTTAGTTTCATTTAATAAGAATATATCGAAGAAACCTAATTGTCAATTTTTAGCGTACTTACGACTTGAGTTATTAATGATATTCTGAAGTTTCCAATTGTTCACCAATCTCATATCACTTCCTTAACAATTTTAAAGGAGAAAAAGGAAGAAAGAGAAAAAAGAAAATAATTTCAAAAAAATTAATCCAACGAAGCGTTTTCAATCCGAGGATCGCAATGTTTCAACAAGAATTTTTTATAGATAAATTGGAGAATTCGGAATCGGGCAATGGCGGGACATGGTGGAGCCGCTCCGACACTTTTATGAATCCCGAAGGCACCTGCACCTGTACGAGGCTGGAGGTTCGCCAAAGAACTGATAGCGTGGGCGTCGAAGACATGGACATAAAGACACGTGCATGTACCTGTGCGCATCGGCACCTTTGAGAGGGGGATCGAAGTCTTTTACCTTCCTACTTCATTGGCTGGATTCAAGGTGTTTCGAACCGGCCTCTTTTCACTCTTCGCTCTTTTCATTGCGAATCATCGCTCTTTCTATTATTCTCCCTATAACAATAACAAGAGATAAACTCTTAAGCGATCGGAAGCACAATTTATATTGCATATCGTTGACGGAAGAATTAAATTATTAAATTACACATTAATCTTAATGTTCATGCATGTAATTATAATCTTTCCATAATTAATTTCGACAATTTTGTTGGTAAACATTAAAAGAATCGATAACTGTAAAGATTAACTTATTTAATCGCAATTTCGTTCGAGAGATTTCGCGCAAATAAAAAGCTGATTATTATAACTTGCGCAACAGGGTGATACTTCCGTCAACGATAATTTAAGCGTTAGGGCTTTCAACCGGAAGTATGCACCCAAAAAAGCATCTTTTAACAATCCCCGCTGGAATGAGAATCTCATCCATATATACATATATACACATATACACGTACCACACGCTATGCACGTTCGCAGGATCCTAATGTTCTTCGTGACTTCCGGTACCGGGCGTATACTCGCGGAGGAGTCGATCAACGATGCGGCTGTCGGTGGCCGGATATGGCGAAGAACCGGTCGACCAAATCGTTCGGCGGGCGTCTTCTTGATTTTTTCATGCCGATCACGCGTAACCCGTGTAACAAATACCGAGCACCGATCGATGATATCATATCCATTGTGTACATAGACGGGCACTCGCGCTTATTTTGCGCGCATCTTTTTTTCCTAGACCGGTGTCATTATCATTCCATCATAGTGGCATCATAAACGTGGATATTAAAATCGGTATATGCGGCTTCGCGGTGGATTTTGATGGTTTAGTCGTGCGATTTTTTATGTTGGTTCGCGACGGTCGTGATGATTGGCGTAGAGTCTATTTTTCTCATGTTTATAGCACGGAGAAGGGAACCAAGTTTACATATCGGTTGTTCCAGAAACCGCAAAAAATCAAAATCGTATTCAACGACCGTATCTCTTCAATCCTTGATTATATTATTTATCGAAAGGAATTCTAATTTTTCGAGACAAATATTGCAAAATTAATATAATAAGTAAAAGAATTTTCTGATAATTTTTATTTCATTTTTCCTTCTGATAAGAATTTATCTTCTTCTTTGAAATCTCAAACAAATAAAATCGTCTCAATACACATACATGCACATACAATATAGCAGTAGTATCAGTAGCATATTGTATTTTGTATTGCCTCATTGATTATTCCTCGTACATTAGGAATGTAACGAATTTATTTACGTCATAAATAATCGAATCTCAGCGTACGACGTCTTTCAAAAAGCTACTGTACGTTTTACGCAACGTTTAACTCTTTCGAATACACTACGCAATAAAATCAGTCTACACCTCTTTTTTACATGAAAATTTAATTAGAGCAATTAGCCAGGATTTTATGTCGAACTTTATGATTGAAAATTTCCACACGATTTATGAGAGAGAAAAATCTTTTCTCAATATTTATAGGAAATAAAATTATTTTAATGTATACTTTTTGCGAGGTACTGTTATATGTGCTTTCTATCCGAACGTCTTCAGGTAGCGAAAATACCTGCTGTCTGCTCTTAGCTGTTATCCAACAGCTGTTCAAATCTGGCACCCTGCGATGTTTAGGTTCAGCACGCTATAATCGTACGATATATGCATATATATACCGTAATTCTAATCGCGCATATATTAAAGAAATACGTTTGATGCGCTATTAAAGGTTACACTTCGTATTCCAATCGTAAACTGAAAAGATTATTTTAATACAACTATATACAAAATATATTATATAGAGACTCGGGTAATTGATAATTGTACACAAACTCCTCATTGAAGTGAGTTTTCGTATATAAATATTCAAATTATTATTATAAGCTTATTAAATTTATTCTATTTTATTATTTAAAATAAACAGATAATTATAACAGAAAGAGAGAGATATTGTTAAACATTCAAAAATGAGGAATTTCTATTTTGCGTGCACCAACAAGTAACTTTATATAAATTTTATATATTGTTATATTCGCGTTCTCTTAATACTATTTATTTTTGCAAAAATAATTGACTGATCGGGACACTCACCTTGTAGAATAATTGCTTCAAGATTATCGCGTTCAAGAAAAACTGCAACTTAACAACTATAATTTCCACATTTTGTTAAAACCCGGTTTGGACATAAGAGACTCTTTAATTGTACATCGAAGTATAACTTTGCTATCCTCCCGGGCGTTATATAGTAGACAATTAGTAAGCACGCCGAGAAGTCGCCTCCGGAGAAAGTCATCGCCGGCAACAATGACAACAACTGCCATCGTCGTCGTCGGTGCCGTATTCACCGAGTGAGGAAAGAAAACAAAAAAAAAGTGCGCCCCACTGAAGGGACAATTAATTTGTACGCGAAACACGTATATGCGGAATACGCTCGCGCTGGAACGCACCTCTACACCTTCCATCCGGTTCGAGATATTCGGCGATTACGAGTGCTTGTATATATATATATTCGATATACATATATAAATATATTTTTTTCTTAAGTAGGATCTGAAAAATTTGTCGATTCGCGGTTTTCGCGAATGAAATGAAAATGATATGTCGCGATAAAATGGAAGTAGTATAACGAAGATGTCATGATCCAACGTATCCGGATGTAGAATTTAGATTTCTCTTGCTAATGTAATACTTTGCGAACAATGGAATATGATTGTATTATTAATGGAAAATATTTTATTTCTAGAAATAGTCATTTTGTTTCACACCGAAACAATGTACAACATTGATAAGCCGAGGAAGAAGAAGGCAGATTCGTGTAAGACGCCGGAGAATCTTGGAAGGTGGAAGTAGGCCGTGCAAATGAGGTGGACTTCGCGAAACACCTCTGCTACACCGGAGCGACCAGTCACATGCTAATTGCAGAACAAGCAGCTACAGAATTTTGTAGGGCGCGACGTTGTGGGATTCATCGCGTTGGCGAGAAAAGAAAAAATTGGCGGAAAGAAACCTGCGAAAGAGGGAGAGCTGAATATGATGACGATTGAAATCAGAGATGTAAGAACAACGTCATTAAGCACGGAAGCGTATCGGGATCTTCCGAGATCGACGCTGCCGATGGAGAAGACTCGCACAAGTCTCTCGCAGGCCGGCTAGTTATTAGCGCGTCAATAATTAAGGTAATCTTTGCGGTAATTAACTCCAGTTGAGACTTAGGTGGTAATGCGGCGCACCTGCGATATCCCGCGGTCAACAGGTTGTTTTACAGGCGGCTCATAATTGCGCGCAGTGTCTCAATTAGCGCGAAATGTAGACCTTCTATGCCGACTCTCGATCTACATGCGGCATCTGTAATTGCATTTATATATGTATATACGTTCTTCCTATGGAACTTTCGGATAAATTGCTCCGAGCACAATTGCACAATTACACTAGATAATAATAGAATTAAGCGAAAAAAGTTTGAATTAGCAACGCAATTTGTCATTTGTCGATTATCATCAGATCACGAAAAATGTCGCGAAATATTTACGATCTTTATTCACCTTATTGTGAATCACGTGGGTCGCTGTAGAAGCAATGACACACGCACAAAATGATGCTCACGTTAACAGGTGATAATTTTTTCGATTATTTAATTTCAATTAGCGACACATTGTTCTTTTCGGGACACGCGCACACGGCGACCTGTCAATTGACAGCTCTTGTTTAATTCACGTAGGATGCACCTAAGTGGATGTATGCGTTGCGACCAAGACGCGAGTGCACTTATGTAACATTTTTATCGTTTTGTCGGAACCTTCGCGACGAGTCTCGTGCGCGACAGCTTGTCGCCTCTGCGAGAATCAGTATTTCAGTCAACCTCATCATCGAGAACTGTCTTCGAAACATGTCTGCGGTTCGAGTATACTTATGCTAATTTTTTATCAATCCAAAGGATTATAAATTAGGTATTACAATTATAAAAGCTTCACTGCGAGAGATTAAAGGAGAATTTTTTGCCATATTTTATTGTTATGTCGAAAATGAACGAGACGAGAGATTCATCAATTTCATAAATGCGAATTTTTTTTTTTTTTAATTTTATTTAATTCGTGTGAAAGACTCGGCACTGAAAAGGCTCTCCTTTATCGCGGTGATATCATATAAGACTTATCGCGATCGGGCATATGTAATCAAACGTCAAATGAATTCTGTGATAAAGTAATAACACTGTCGGCATGTTTATGAATCGGCACAAAGGTTTGATATTCTTAACTTGTTCGATACGAGGAATGCCAATTGAATGCCGATCGAACGTTGGTTTGAGAAAACAGTATACGAGAAAGTCAGATTTATTTTAGCGCTAAATCTTTCTCTTTTCTCGTAAGATTTTACATATAAAAATAATACATAGTTAGTTCTAGAAAAGCTTACCTCAAGATCTTTCAAATTTATTGTAGTGTCTATATAATGATCACTTTAACTGCGCACAAATTTTCACAAAATTTTCGGATATCTTTTTCTTCTCTTAGTCACAAAAATAATATAAATTCTCTAATTTTATTTGCAATAATATATTCGGAAAAATTCGCGTGTTACCTTCGCACCTCGACGAATCTATATATAATCGTACCTCAGACACGACGCGGAGATCAGTGCGGTGACACAGCGGCCGCGAATCGTTTTAACCAGGAAATCGTTCTCGCCTTACAGGATGCCGGCGCGTCAATATTGACACATTTCTTACGAAACACGAGAGAACCGGGCTTTCGCCGGTCCTCTATCTGGTCATTCCCGTGAAAAAAGCCATGGAAAATGCCAAAAGAATTCAATAAGCACAAATCTCGTATAAATAATAATATAATCTTTCCGTCATAATTTTTTTATAAAAAATATATAATTATAAATACAGCATATTAATGTATATGAGTAGTTCAAATATTATAAATTGTATTAGAAAAAAATACTAACGATACTCTGATTTTTTTCTACTGGATGATTTGAAAAGTTATGATAACGATACATCGTATAAGATGCACTTCTTCTGTGCCTGACTATTGTTGCCTGTATAATCCCCGCACGTTACGCGAATGCGATCATGAAACTTAAATAACGCGATCGTTGTGACAATCGTTGAAGAGTATATACGCCTCGGGAAACAGGAAATTGATTCGATTCGAACAAAAGATTCGTTGAGTAACCAAAGACAATTTTGTATTGATTAAACGCCCGACACAAAAAAATTGCACAACGATCATTTAGGCGAGTCAATATCGAAAGAACTTGATTTATATAACAAATATAATTTTCTTAAAAAAAAAAAAAGGTACAGTTTTGTGTAATTAACATATCGATTTAGCTATGTACTTACTTAACAAATTTTCGTAATTTATAACTTGTGCGAGATGTTGTGTTAGATTAGTCATCGTTATTAATGATCGAACGTCAACAAAATCCAAATGTATCATTAACTCTCTTTATTTCCTCTTCTTCATATAATCTCTTAATCATGTAACAACAACTGCCAAGTAACAGTATCGCATATATATATATATATATATATATATATATATATATATATATATATATTATATATACATATATATTCGTAATGCTCAACGCAAGCAGGAACATATGCCTGTGTATAAATAAATTGCGTGACAGCAAAACAATATATTATACTATATATTATATGCTTCGCTCTTTCTCTCTTTTTCTCTTATCGAACGTTAAATCGCTTGAACTAAAGTCCATGATATGCCTATTGCAATTTATCGCTAAAAGCACGTATTATAAATGATACAATATTGTGTCTCGCGCAATAATTTACGAGACGTTCTATATATATTCGAGCCCCTCTTATTTAATCCAAAATACTTCCGATTATCGGATCTTAACAACAGCCGGATCAATTCCCAATAGGCTCATGAAAGTGCGTTTATTTTTGCTGTATGCATCATATATAAATAAAAATATTACCATGAGCGTTCGCAGGATTTTTTCCAAGGGGAGCTTGATTAAAATTTTTTTTATTTCTCATTTTTTCTTATTTTTTTGTTATTTTCATTGTTTTTTATATTAAATATGCAAATAAACTCCAGTGTTTATTCAAAAGGAGAACAAATTAATTTTTTACTGATTTCAAGGGGAGCAAATGTCCTTTCTTTTCTCTCCCTGTGAACACCCATGGATACCCAAAATCCTAAAGTAAAAGTTTCTTGTTAAGAATCACGTCTATGCGCGAGCATAATACATGCGTTTGTTAAAAAAAAGTTGTATAAAGAAGTGTCATTTTAATGTATATTTTATTGCTCGTAACTTTTTTGGTAATTTTCTAACATTATTACTTTTGTAAAATAAATTAAGCAATAGAATATACGTTGAAGCAACAACTCTTTCCTTCTTTCATACAACTTTTTAACAAGTGTGTGGACTCGGCGCTTTTATTTTTATCTACAACAGAATAACAGAAACGAATTATCAACGATTACAACATTGTATGTCACGCACAATGGATGGATCCTTTGGCCGGTATTTGGCGTAAAACGAAGTTGTCGCGAAGTACAATCTAAGATTAATGCGAAAGGCCCTTTCAGAGAGAGAACGTTAACATAGAATTCTCTTAACAAAAACAAAGAATAGTGAGAAAACTGCGTTATTCTTTCTTACTCAACTTCGTTTTACTCTTAACAATAAAATAAGAACCCTGTTAATGTAGCGCATCATACATCTTTCGCTTTGCGATAAAAAAGCTCTCGTATTAATAGCGATTGCTTAAAGAATCACAGAACACATAGAGATACATTTTCATGTAGGCAATATATAATGTGTAAAAAAATAGAAACGCATAACAAAAAGTTCAGTATCTTTCAAGCCGTTGTATAAAAAATGACGTATATAGCTGCTATTAAATTGTGAGATATTGCTTATAACTTTGTGCATATCGATTAAGTAATTATAGATTTGTGCAGTTTTGAACGTTTTTTCATTAGCTAACAAGTTGAAAATGTACCATGTGTATAAGAGAATTAATATGAACAATTAGATAAAGCAGTCAAAGTTATGAATATAGAATAATTATAATACAAATAAATATATATATATATATATATATATATATATATATATATATATATAGATAAAAATATATATTAATCTTTTTAATAATATTAACGTAACGTAACGTAAATAACGATACAACGTAAATTATGTAACAAAACAGTTGAAGATAAATAATTTGAACTACATAAAAAATATATTACGTAAATGTTTCAACCTTTTCGTACTCGCCGTTAAATATATTTTACTACTTTGTTACTACAAAATTTTGATTCATATATTATATAAAACTATTATTTTTTTATAATGAAATATGCGCGCGCGTTGTACTATTTATCACTAATATTGATAGATAACTTTTCCTATTCGCGAAAGATTTTAATGCGAAGTTTCGCGCAATATAATTTATATTCGTCATATATTATTTTATCAAGTACAACGAATAATTCGGTAAGTTACATAGAGTAACTTGCGGCACAGGCATAAACATTCAAGCAATTAACTATGCCAATGGACTTGTGGCAAAAATTTCATTACGTAAGCAAAGCATCATAGTCTTTTAACTGTTATGGAAATAGAAACTGGACATCCTGCTAATCGGTATTATTAAGTAGTGTTCATTATTCGTAGAATGTATTCGTCAATTGATATTAATTGTGATTTATGAAAGAGATGGAGAAGAGGAATCGTGCCAAGATCACATTAGAATATTAGAAGAATCAGAATACCAATGATTCTTAATTGTCATGTATGAATACAGTGGCCCACAATTGGATGCAGAATGTATTGTGTTCAAAGTGTGATATCGTAAAATGTGGATGTTTTGTGTGTACAAAGAAGCTTGTAATGTATCGAAAACATTTAATATAGGCGAAAAAATTATTTTTTCATTGAGGAGAAAGTTGCATAAAGAAATTAAGGATTTATAATTAGAGATAAACTTGGTATTTGTTTACAACTACGGCATAAAGAGCAGTTAGCATCTAAATGCAAAATATTAAATTATTATGTAAAAGAGTCATTAAAAAATTACACTGGGATACTCGTGTCAAGTCTCAATTTTTTGATATGCTATTAAGAATGTAGATTTCTATAATCTATTTCTAAAACTAGGAAAAGAGGGAATGAAATTGTAATCTATTTATAAATTGATTACAAAGAGCATGAATGGTGAAAGTTCTCCTACAATATTTGGATACTATTTCTCTAAATTCCTTGCATGCAGAGTGTAATTAAATACTCAAATCTAAGAATAGAATGTAATATATTAATATATAATGTATTAAGCACGTTCTGTACGTATGTGTCTGTATATGTGTACATACATAAACACACATACATACGTATATTTAAAAAAATGTTATCTTAGTGCTTTTTCGATTATACTATTCAAAATATAAAATTTTTTCCCATATATTTAATTTTCTAATATGTCAAGAAACTTTTTTATTTGCTGCGTCTAAATATTACGATGTAAATGTAAAGTACTATTTTTACATTCGCTTGTCAATTATATTGTCTATTATATGAAGAAAATATGATGTGTTCGATAGCATTGAGCTGTATTTTGTGCCAAATAGCAGTTATGACTGATTAAATTGTGAATTTTCAAACTAACGAATCTAAGGAATTCGAAAGCATAAAACAGTCTATAAACATTTCGAACAGTTCATGCGTAATTCATGTTCAATACGCTAATCATGCAATTAGTAATTGATTTATCATTTGAAATTTGAACTAGTATCAATATTTAAATGTGTAACTTTGAAATATACTAAGAGAGCGTATATCATGCAATCACAGTTTCTATATGTTATAATTCGATTTCTAGATTTTGATTTGTTAAATATTTGTAGAAATTATAAAACCAAAAGTTAGTGCTTATGATATGCAATATTACTGTACGTTTTTCTACGAAAAATGATCGTAGCTCTATCACTTTTGAAAGCATTTGGGCAAATATTATATCTCTTTTTCTCTCTCTGTCTTTTTTTAAATGTATATACTATATGTATATACGTAATGATAAAATGTTTTTCTATATAATTTAAATCTAAATCAACATCTTAGGCTAATTTGACATCGTCTCTGTTAACGATATATATATATATATATATATATAATACGCTAGTAAAAAATTTATATAAACTCAGAATGAGAACGCAAATCGTCGTTTCATTCTTTACTGTATTTCGTTAACGTTCTTTGATACTGAAATATTTTAGGAAATGTTAAAGACTAAATCTAAGTATTAAGCGATATTACATATCTACGTTATCAGGTTTCAATCTTACCTCAAAAACGCAATTTAATTTATTAGGCTTCTTTGTTAATCCGAGAGATGTTCTATTCTGTAGGACAATATTGCTTTGCATTTTAGTCCGTGCTTATCGCATCTTAATGTCACTCTCGTTAAAATTCCCATGACGTATACGCCGCTGTCCAGGGAGTGATGACAGTCCACGATGGAAATTGCGCCAAGAATTTCTTAAATCTCAAAGATCTTTGGTGTTCGCTGTGTAAAAAATGTCCGACTGACGCGATCGACAAACACGGGCCTTTTTGCGCAGTAGAAACCTAGAGATATACGCATAATTTGAGATGGATAAACAAAATACGTGATGTTCGATACGATGAAGAAATATAGAAAGATAGATTTCTTTTCTAAAATCACAAACTCACATTTAACTCGATAGAAAATGTATATGGCATACAATCTGAGGCACATGCATAATAGATGAAGTAAGTTTCTCTATCGTTCCACATTGGACCTTGCAACGGTTTCTCATCAATCACAGACCACTTTTCTAAATGAACACCTTTATACGGAGATAGAATTATACTCATGTGATCAGGACCTAAAAGTCAATAGAATGAATTTTTATAGAGAGATATTTGAGATTGTAATTGTAGCTGCAGATATGTAAAAATTAAAATATATGGGGATATATGGAATTAAATCTCTTGTAGAGATTATTTCAATTTTAAGTCTTGGCCGTGACCAAGTAAAATTTGGTGCCTTGTGCACAGGTATTTAATTCTAACGGAAAAAATTTTAGTTTCGTTGGGATAACGCACTGTCATTCGCGATTTGGCTCTTATTGCCTTACACTTTAAATTTATATTTAAAATATATTACCTGTAACATTGAAGGTAAAATTAATCATATTCTGTTTTGCAGTCTTTGAAATAATCTCGAGTTTTGTAGGGATACTTATAAGCGGGGCGGGTCCAGGAATCCAACTCGTTTTCCTATAAAAAAAATTGTACAATTTCTCACAATTTCTATAATTTTCAATCTTATTCTTAAATTATCTAATTTTGATAAGTACCACAAGAAAGTTGTGACTGGCATTAAATATGGAAAACCACAGTATAATTCTTTCTCACAGTCTCTGACAGTTGGTGTCGCGACAGCCACTTCAGGTACTATCGATTCTACGCTGTGAGGACTATTCATATCTAAATCCACCGACCAATATCCAGTACCGGAATATCTAACATTACCATCTGCATCATAAAACTGGCGTTGACTGTGCTGAAAATCACAAAAAAGATATCTGTAATTTAAGTAAAGTATTAAATTTTATAAGAAATTATAAATTTCTTAAAAAATATTAATATAAATATGCTTACACAAAATTTCTTAAATTATAAATTTTATAATAAATTGTAAATATTAATTATATAAGAAGTTTTACAAAAAAAGAAAAATAACTATATATTGTACCGCGATCATAAATCGTTGTGGTGCGGGCGATAATGGATCGCCACTGTAAGGGAATCCCAGTGGTGTTAAAATTAACACAGCAATAGCAATTAAGAAAATCCCAACTATCACATTTATAATTCGTTCTGCATTCTTTATTAGAAGCACTATTGGCAACTGAAAACACATTGAAACGTCACAACAGTTATCTATATATATTAATATATATATAGATATTATTGTTATTTAATATAGTGTTGAAGAGTGCTTAAAAATTAAACATTTCAAATTACTTCATGCAAAATACGAATTGAATTATTATTAAATATATATTTTACCGTGAAGCTAAATAGCAGACAGAACAATATTGACAACATGTTAGCTATTACGACTTCGGAATTAATACTGCCGCCAGATCGTCCCATTATTGGGATAAAGAGATAGAGAGCACCGAGCGCTAAGTAAAATGACTGTATATAAGACAGACTCAACGATCCCAAATGATAACAAAGCCATTTCCAGTCTACAAATTTATAAAAGTGCTTTATATTAAATATTAGAATAAATGCTTCAAAGTGATTGAAACATGAAATTACCAATGTTAGCACATAAAAACGATAAGAATTGTATCGTATAATTATACTCACCTCTCCATTTGTTGAAAAAATAGTGTCGTACGATATTTCCGATCGCAGGGAATAAGACCCAATGCAACGGTATAAAGCCTGATCGAATTTCGAATAAAACACATACGAAAAGTATCGTCATCCATATTACGGCATAAGCGTCACAGTATATTTGATGCAAGATCCATACAGAGCTAACTTCCTGTAAATTATCAATTATCTTATAAATTTTTCATATCCTAATAAGCTTTTAAGTGGAAATTTATTTTTTGCTATTATTTAAATAATTAGATTTAAATTCTATACATTAGACATTTAAATAAAATTTTATTCATTCTGTAGATAAGATATTTAAATAAAATTTGACTAATTTATTCAAAATTATTGAAAATCACGCAAATTCATTTAAGATATTTTTACACATATATCTATATTACTTATTGAAAAACTATAATAAATTGTATGTTTTTAAAATAATATGAATATAATATAAATAAATGTATACAGACTTTAGAAAGAATCTAAATTTAATCATTTAATTGAATGAGAGATTGTCACATATCTTTATTACTTGCCTTTCTCTGTCTCGATCCAATGTGCAGAAATACGATCATCGACACAAAAGTGGTTGGACAAATGTATAGAAAAAATAGCCAGGCCGGTCTTGCGTACCAACTCATTACCTTTCCCAGTTTAGTCAATATTAGGGCAATCAATGTACAAGAAAACATGGATGCCAGCCATGAGATGATAACCACTCCAACACACATTGTCACATGTCTCATGTAATTCCATCTCTTAATATCTATATTCGACAATTCGATATTATTCATATTTGTTTTAAAAAAACTAGCTACGGATTTTTGAAATCTATTCTAAGAATCTAAGTAATGATTATATATTCTTACTTCTACGTGCATTCTGCATATTCAAATAGATAGAATACCCAGCTGTAATTAAACTGGCGATATTAACTGTACTAGCAATGTATTGTGGCCATCTGACAACGAATGCGCCCAAAAAATCGAAAAATACGAGATTTCCACGTGTCTCTTGCACATTCGGATCTGATAAATGGTCTTCAAACACTATTCCTTGTGTCAAAGCGAGAATATTATCACCGGTTCTTTGCAAGGTTCCCAGTGGTATCTGATCAACATTGTCAAATTTTGTATGATACACATAGCCATTCTTTGACCATGCAAAGTCAACGCCTGTGTGAAATTTCACATATACATTAGTCAATTTTAATAAAATAATAAAATATGTGTGTCACATGAAAAACTTATAACTCACCAGAAACTTTCCCGAAATCCCTAAATATTCGAAAATCAGTATCACCAGGTACAATGCCGCTCTCAAATATTTCTTGAGCTAACGATGATGCATAAGGATATGGCACAGATTTGGCATAAACCTGTGCAAAATATATACACATCATAATGAGAAATGAATTTTAAATTAAATTTAAATTAATAACAATATAGATGAGATGATACCTCAAGCATCCAAGGATTGTGAGGACCAGCCTGAAATAATAATTCACGACCACCGGCTCCACATGCTTCTAGATTTATAAATGTTTTAACTTCCTTTGCCCAAGGATGTTGCGTTATAAAGCCATGAGATGCCTGTAAAATATTATATATTGTGAGAACAAAATTACATTCCTCAATTATAAATATGATTTACAAAATGTGACATAAAATTAATATACCTGCAATATATTCTCCTCTGCACCATTAAATAAAAATATGATGCTGTGCTTCAATATTTTTGGACTTTGAGTAATTATTCGTAAAATCTCTAGCATGACAGCACAGCCAGCACCATCGTCCGAACCGCCTGAAATTTTTATTGAAATAATAGGCATAGAGGAAGAGATGTCTCTTTTGCATATACAATAAGTTTACCTGGACTTTCTATAAACGAATCGAAATGACAATTAAGCAGCAAGCTGTACATGGTAGGCCTGTGAGGTCCAACTTTGACAATAACATTTTGCACGTTCCTGTAAACGTTGGTCATGCCATCGAGAAACTTAAGTGGGAATGCGCCGCTGTGCTTGGTAATATTAAGGACTATCCTATGATTCTCGTGCGCCGTTTCAATCACATTATTGATCGTTGTCGTGAGAAATTTAATAGCTAGGACTTCATTCTCGTAACTGCCGGCGATACGGGGTCCGATCGACGTTAGGTTTACCACGTGATTACGTGCTCGTTCAGCAACAAATCTCCCTGGATACAATCTCTCGGTATCGATGGTTATCGGATCCGGCAGATTTCTCTCCAATACGATTATGATGAACGACACGAAGAGAAAGAACGTGAGAACGAAGAGTAGATGCTGGGTTTCATTTGGCAGTACGTCTTGCTTCTTCGAAGCGATCTTATTCTCGTAAGGTAATTCGGTTAACGTCCTCTTCGCCGCGCGTTGTCTCAATCTCGTTCCGTCTCTCTGGAACTGAACAAAAAAAAATAAGAAAAAAAACAAATCATCAATCTCTTTCTGTACAGCAAAAAAACACTAATTTGCACAAAAGGCACTACGCATCAAAGGACCCTGCACCAAATACATAGGATATTGGCTTTCGATGGAATTGGCTATTTTTTTCATATATTGTAGATCATATCATATGTTACACGACATATGAGAAAACCACCTGATCTTGCCAAGATACTTTTATATTATTAGTACTGCGTTTTTGAACTTACATAAATCAGTTGATTTTCTCACATGTCGTAACTTATAACTTGCTGAACAAAAACTGTAATAAAATAATATTTAGCTTTGAAGCTACTATATTTTTTATTCAACAATTTACAAGCTGCAACATAAGAAAAAAATAAATAAAAATCAGTAAATTTCATCAAAAGCTAAAATCCTATTTGACGTTGGATCCTTTACTGGACCGATAATAATTCACTTACCATTTTACGTGCGCGTTAATGACAGGAAAGGCACTTTTGCGATACAACTGTCAAATCTTGGTGAGATCGAGTCGAGCAATTTATTTTGTTACTCAATCATCAGTCTCGTTCGCCGCATCGGGAAGCATATAAATGCGCGTTGCACTGCATCGGGGATGTGAAAGAAGATGAAGACAAACACGCATTCACGCAGCGAGGCCGTAAGATCCTTTCGCGTTTTCTCGTTTCGCGCGACAGAAACGAGAACGAGCTGGTGCGTCAAATATAAACGACGATATATACTTCCCCTTCTCTCTCGCTCCTTCTCTCGTGCTACCCTCTAATTTTCGCTCCCTCTCCTTTCCTCGTTTTATCGATTGCTATTCTTAGTTGCCTTAGTTATTTGCGGAATGCCAGACACTTTGATATTGAATAATATATTCTAAAAATGTAATCTGTAAAAGAAAGAGGAAACAAGAAAAATTAATTAATCGGGAATGCGCGATCTGTCATCCAGCCGTCCAGCTGATCCGTCATCTTCCATCCTTCTTCTTTCGTTTCGCGCCTAATAGAGCAACGCAACGATCGATCAATCATCATCATTGTTATAAAATATTTATTCGCGCGAATAACTACACGTCAGCGAATTCGAGAAGAGATATATATATATATATATATATATATATATATATATATGTATATATATATACTTACATAATGTACACGCCTTAATAATAAGGAATCCGTCCGTTTGCTCGGCTCTTTCGGGTCTTTCTAATAAATAATCTCAAGTACTCGGCCAATTTATCGCGTCGTATTTATTACGTTATTCATGGCCTTGCTCGACATACTCCTTCGACACTGATATCATGCATATTATCGCTAATCAGTTTAATTTATACGATTACGACACTTGGACATATTATATTATTCTTGCGAAACATGCTCTCGAAATTAATATGAAAATAGCGGTTTATTATTTTATATCTTTTTTATCGCACGCGCCGAATTTTATCTCTTGTCGCTGGAACAAAAAATAATTTAATATAATTATAAATAAATTTCTGATGCCAATTTATAGGTATTAGATAGGTACGTGTGAGTGAAAAACACGAGCGCGTATTATAAAATTGAAGAAAAAACTAATGCATACGAGAAAAATATATGCAAGTATATATTTTATACATAAAAAGAATAAATGAATGTATAAACATATATATATTATAGTAGAATATAATAGTATGTAATAATATAGTTAATTGCGGACATATATATATATAATAATCGATGAGATATTATTTATGAGAGAGTAGATATAATCAACAAAAGATAATCAGATATGCATAAATATCAGATCTACAGAAATAAACAATAAGATAAAATACTCCTATCTTATTTATTATAAAAACATCTATCTTTTTCACACGTTTTGGAGTATGTTTTATTTTCCGAAAAATAAATTGTAAAACGTTACCTTATGATACATTTCATTCAAAATTCTGTGTCTATCGCACGAATTCTCCGATTCATATGACGATGACGTGAAGTTGTGAATTTCAAATCGATCATTGATTGAAAAGATGAATGAACTCTCTCTGCGAAAAGCTGCGATTTCATTGGTTCTTGCGCGTCGCGATATTCGACATGTGGTTTCCTCTCTTCGTGTTTCTCACAGTCTCGGTTCGTTTGCACCTCGCGCGCTATCTGCACTCAAAGTGCACATGCGCAGCTGTCACCTGTCATCGTCAAAGTCACGTTTGTAATCGCGATACATCCATATTATAATTTTCGCGTCTAAAATGCGAAATAGACGTATTTAATCAAGATTCGGAGGAAGAGAAGAAAATTGTAAGAAAGCAAAGACGGCGAATCTGTTATCCTAATAATAAGTAATAAGGTATCTTCCAAATCAACACGTACGAAATTTGGTTAGAAACGATCGAACGACACGCGCTCTATTGTTGAGTGCAAAAGCACGATTAGAAACGTCAGGGTGATGAGTGTTGAAAACGCCAGTTTCATCGATTTTGTTTTTCGTCACACAGCTGATTTTGTATATTTACGTACATAAGTATTACACATCGATTAAATTCCGTCGATATTTAATTCCGCAGATTCATGCAGTGCGTTGTTAATTTTGCATTCTGCTCGAACAATGGATAATAATGCGACTGACAAATCGGGGAGACTTCAGTCCAACGAAGAGGTCATCGAGGAACTTACCCGAGATCTCGAAAGTTCCTGCATCAACGCGAACGAGAGTACAAAATCGAGAAACGTAGAGAGTGATTCCTGGGATATCCTGGATAAGGAGCACAACGAAGGTGAGGATGATGATGCACAAAATACAGATCCTTCAGAGGATGTGGACGAGGATCTTCTCAAAGACAGAGATTTATTACTTACGGAGGCTGAACAGGAGGTAAATGTTTGCGATGTGTTTCTGTGTAATTATTATCACACAATTTATTGTACATTTATCTATTCTTCTCACAGTCAATGAAATGCGAGGCGGAAAATTTAAAACAGACAGGGAATGATTTTTTCAAAAATGGTGAATACGTACAAGCAACATCTCAATATACGCAAGCATTGCGAATTTGTCCTTTAGCGTACAGTAAAGAAAGGTCTATATTGTATGCTAACAGAGCAGCAGCAAAAGCAAAATGTCAGGTATGTATTGAAATAAATCAAACCATTAACACATACAATATACAATATTTGCATCTTATAATTTTATCTAGTATTTATATATCTAGTCATTATTAACAAATAAATACTTTCAGACGGAGAAGGATTCTGCGATATCTGATTGTACGAAAGCCATTGAATTAAATTCCAATTATGTAAAGGCTTATGTTAGGAGAGCACAATTGTACGAAGAGACAGATAAATTAGATGAAGCGTTAGAAGATTTCAAGAAAATATTAACATTTGATCCCAATCACACGGAGGCTAATCATGCTATAAGGGTAATGTATTACTTGCTTAAAATGTAGATATTTAAAACAATCGTTTACGACAATATATTAATGTATTAATTATTACTCATTCAGAGGTTACCTCCATTGATTAATGAAAGAAATGAAAAATTAAAAACAGAAATGTTGGGGAAGCTTAAAGATTTAGGTAATATGGTATTAAAACCGTTTGGCCTTTCTACAAATAACTTTGAGCTGCAGCAAGATCCCAACAGTGGTGGTTATTCCGTAAAGTTTCATCAGAACCCTATGTAACAAGCTAGTTATATATTTCTTATTTATAAGGATTATGGATAAAATGTCTCACTTATCCATAAGAACTAAGATATATTTATATATACTATAATCCTATTGGGGATTTTATCTCCCTAAAAAGAGACCCACGTAATAAAATATAGATATTAATAAAATATTCTTGCGATATAAGATCAAGATTATGCAAACTGGGTGGGAAAACATTCCGTTGGATTTTATAGATTAAAATTATCAATGACAAAACTAGTCGAGATTTTGAAATATTCCTTTGTGTCGAGTTACAACAGATAGCTATTGTGAGTCATAACATTGGAAATTCCGCTATATTTGGCGCCGATATAACAGACTGGATATAGCTATGGTTCAATAATAATACCAGAGCTATATGCATCGCCGATAATTTTAGCCATACTTCTCGTACCGAAGTTGAACGACTTTATAGGTATTTCTCAAGTTAACGAACGAAACTCTGATCATAGAGAATCGGTAATCGATATCAATCGATAAAAGATTTACAAAGGCGATCACATAATACCGGAAGTAAAGTCTCAATATTAAAAATACTCGAGTAAAGTATATCCATATTTTCCTTTAGGTGATAAGTAGTCGTTAAAACAACGAGAAAATTTTAATATATTCTCATTCCATCACGCAACAAGAAATTAAATACAGCGAAATCTCGAGGGAGAGGAGGAGGAACGACTTTAATTCATTGTTGAAAGATATTTTAAAAGTCACGCGAGATAGGTGCAACGAACGATTACAAGGGCGCGGAGGAACGAACCGATATATGACGTCATCCGCTATACCTCGTATTCCGTCATCGTCGAAATAAATAATTGATAAAAATTCAATAATAAATATTTAAAGCGAATAAATGAAAATATACTAGAATTTTTTAAAAAACGCGTTAAGTTTTACACACTATTATTTTTTAATACATTATTTTAATAATTATATTTTTAATACATTATTTTAATTATTTTTTTCGAGATATCAGTGAGATAATTATCGATACGACATATGCGAGAGGAAGGCTTTAGATTGACAGGTGGTTCATAATTATTATTTTTTGATATATATTATTTTAATAATAATTTTTTTAAATACATTATTTGAATTCTTTTTTTCGAGATATCGGTGAGATAATTATATCGATACGACATATGCGAGAGGGAAGCTTTAGATTGACAGGTGGCTACCCCGGGCGACGTAACTTGTGCTCGTGGGAGACAAGGACGGTACACGTCACGAGCGTGAAGAGGGAGAGACCGTACGTGCGATATATACACACGCGCGACAGCAGTGCGCAATAGTGAAGGACGGAGTCGCAGTCGTGGGGCGTAAATACCGGGGAAGAGGAACTCGGTTAGTACTTTGGTAGTACTCGCTCGTCGACGACGACGTCGGGAGCGGTGGCGGGTAGGTTTTCGAATCGATAATTCGAGCGCGATCGTGACAGATGAAAGACACTTCCGGTAGGAAGGACTCGCTCGGAACGTCGATTCAAGCACCCGCGAAATCGCTCTCTCTCTCCTTCTCTTTCTCTTCCTATCCTTCTATATCTATATATATACGCATAGAGAAGTGATAAGGGTGCATCTACCATCGGCACCCTAGGGTAGTTATTATCAACGTACCGCTACCTATATCCGGCGCGACTGACGTACGTCTCCCTCGTACGTCTTCCGGTTGGAACGGGACGCGGACGACGACGATGTACAGCGACAAAGGGGTAAGCCGGAACTTTAGACATATAAGTTCGCGAGTTCTACTTTTCGCGAATCACGACACTCCGACGGTGCTTCGCGGACGGAATTAGGTCACTTGATTTTACCCTGGTTTTTGTTATCGAGTATCCCTCGAACCTCCCACCACCTTGTGATAACGATTCTCCGGTTGGTTCCTCGGTTCTCGAAAAAGGATACGATGCTCTCGAAGCTGCTCGTCTCCTTCGTGTCTTTTTTGTGTCTTCGAACGAGATAGTTATTGCGTGAATATCGAAGGAAGAGACGAGACTAGAATAATGTATAATTAGGTTAAACACAAAAGGTATCTTCACATTCGAACTCTTGTAAAAAATCTTTGGGTTTTAGGAGTATATATATTTCCTTTTTTTATAATAAATATATATTTCCAAAAATATTTTTGATAATTTTAGAAAAACGTCAGGCTATACTCCTTCAATACATGTTTTAAAATTATATCTAAATTGCTGTTACAGTTTTTACTATTTCTCATTTGGAAGTTATATTTAAAGGAATTAATTAAGGAATTATATAAAAAGAATGAAAATATATGACTCTTATAAAAGGTGTGAATCTACAAATGTTTCCTCTTTTTTTAATCATATATATATATTTCCAATATTTTTTGACTAACATTTTTTTCTTCTAGATAATTCATATAGAATTACAGATTAATGTATATAGAAAAACATCAGGCTATTCTTCAATATTCAATTTAAAAATATATCAAAAGCTGCTATTACAGTTTTTGCTATCTCTCATTTGGGAATTATATTTAAAGGAATTAATTAAGGAAAAAAGAATGAAAATATATGACATTATTATATTTCTAGACTTCACACATCTCTTAAAATAAAGAGAAAATTAAGGAATTATATATAAAAATAATGAAAATATATGACTCTTGTAAAATGTTTTTGAGAATTTACAAATATTTCCTCTTTTATCATATTTTTCAATATTTTTTATTGAAATTTTTCTTCTAAATAATATAAAAATACATCAGGCTATTCTTTTTTCAATGTTCAATTTAAAATTATATCAAAATGTGCTAACAATTTCGGTTATATCTCATTTGGAAGTTACATTTGAAGGAATTAGGATAATTAAGGAATTATATATAAAAACATAAAAACATATAACAGTATTATATTTCTAGATTTCACACATCTCTTAAAATAATAAGAATTCAATTAAAAAGATTTCGCCTGAACAAAGTTTACAAGTAAAACTCTTGACAATAACTTTTATTGATTATATTAATTAATGTTGACTTAATGTTTTTTAACTAGAAATCTTGCGCAACATAAGGTGTCTTTAAACTCTTGCGAAGTCTTTGAGATTCTACAAGTATATATTTTCTCTTTTTTGATGATAAATATTTTCAATGTATTTTTAATTAAATTTTTTTCTTTTAGATTATTTTTAGAAAATTGTTAAGCTAATTCTTCAATATTCAATTTAAAATTATATCAAAATCTATTACAGTTTTCGTTATCTCTCATTTGGAAGTTATATTTGAAGAAATTAATTAAGGAATTATATAAAAAGAATGGAAATATATGACACTATTATATTTCTAGACTTCGTATCTCTTAAAATAAAAAGAATTTAATTAAAAAGGTTTCGCCTGAACAAAATTTATAAGCAAAGCTCTTGACAATAGTTTTATTGACTATATTGATTAATATTGACTTAACATTGATTATAAATCTTGCAATGCACTGTTTGCTGTAATTAAAAAATAATAATTTTAATAAAAAAGAGAAGTTTTTTTAAATGGATGTTTAAAGTTTTCCATTAGTTGCCATTTAATAATTATGAAAATTATTGTAAAGATAAAATATATATGTATACATAAAATGTGTAAAAAGCGTGGCAAATTAATGCACAAGCGCTTAGAATAAAAAATTTTCATCGTCAACGAGAGAGCGATGGCAAAGTTAGATTTCTGATATTAGGTCTCAACGTCGTATATCCTCTCTTTTGATATGTAATTTTACATGGGTCCAATTAGTAAAGGAATATTCGTTTCTCTGAAAACCATCACTTCAATTAACGCATTTTCTTGAAAGATATCGATTTTATGGACACGTGCATATCTCTATTGAGACACGAGAGAAAAATACATACGTACTGATTGCTCTTTTTTCATCAACTAGATATTTTTAGATGTAAAAGTGGAATTTTATTAAATTTTTAGATTTTTACCTTTTTTTTGCGCGCTCACATAGTTATATTTTATTAAAAAAAAGTGTGTGTATAATAATATATATATATATATATATTCAGATTTTATTCGTCAGAATTTTTGTTGTAACAAAAAAATGTGCATGTGTATGTTCTCTGTATATACAAAATTTTTAGTTAAAGATTACATATATCTGTCTATATGATATTGATCTAAAATCTATAATGTACTAATTAATGTGTGTTTGTTGGTAACAACAATTGAATATTCTATCAGTATAGCATTATCGATCGAATACGAGAGCAAATATTTTTTTAAAGTTCTGGTTATTTAATAATTCATGTGTGCATTTATTTTCAAAAATTGTTTACCAATAGATACAAAAGTTAGTCCCTCAAACGTAATTGCACAAGCAAACTTGTCGAAAAAAAGGATTTTTATTTAACACTCTATTCTTTCGTACTTCTGGGAAATCTGATAAACGCCACGCTTTTAATTTGATTTAGGAAGTTTTACTTACAGCAAACACGTTCGATTGCACAGATCGCATCGCGAAAATTACTCGTTAGCTCTATCGTCTGATATATATGCATTCCGAAATGAATAACCGAATGAAAATGTTCAAGGTAAATATCGAAAAGTTTGTCAACAATTGGCGATTAAAAATGAAAGAAATTTGACAAACTAACTTCCTTACAGCAAGCAGTGGTTAAACTAACAATAAGTATCCACGAACTCTATTTTAAATTTCTTTCAAATTAATTTACAATTTATCCCTCAACATTTTTAAATATAAAATTAGAATTTATTTTAAAATTCAATTCTATTTAAAATTTTATTTTATGGCTTCTTTCGCGAAAGTAAAATCCACAATTGCAAAGTTAACGGTGGGAAAAAATTACGACCGAAGAGTATGTCGTTTAAAAGCCGTATCAAATTATTTACCGGTGCATATGTGTGTGTATACATATATATATATATATATATATATATATATATATATATATATATACACTGTTAATTTCGCCGACAGCAATTAGACAATCCGTAACAATTAGCTCGAATGTACTTGTCACTTTTCCGCAAATAGGTTGCATACGCATTACGAGATTAGGGGATGTGCCGTGACTGACTTTCTATCTCTATTTGCATTAGTCACGTCAGGATGCCTTTGATCTCCGATGAATCATGCAGATAATGCAGCAGCGAATTATTCTTTCCACACGCGACATATACATATTCAAGTGCAGATGAAAATTACCCCGAAAATTCCCGAGCGACACTTTTACGACATTTTAATTACCCTCGCGGAATACGCATGACATTTTATTACATTACGTCACATGTAATATACACGTTTTGCAGACTCCATGCAAATTATTGCAATTATTACTTTATTAAAAAATATCTTCTTTCTCCAAGTTTGAAAAATAATACTTTTTTTCTTTTAAACCTTTTTATTACGATTATTATTTTTTATATATAGTGTTTTATGAGAGATTTAATCTTTTTATTTAAAATAAAAGTTTATTAAATTTTCGAAGGACCCTTTCCTTTGCATATTCCGGCATATTACACTACCTCTCTGTGATCACATATTTTGTTTAATTTGCAATTAATTCATCGTATCACTCTTCATCGCAATATTGAAAATTCCGAGCGTATAACGTATGCAACGTTTGTATGGTGAATATTATACGTGAGAACACACAGGATAATTTATTTATCCAGCAGCCGATGCTTTTCCGAAGGGAGTTTTATAATATGAAAATTTTTGTTTACAAGCGAGAGACGAAAACATTTAAACGCTCCCCATATTCAAGAGGGGGATGTTTTTCTTAAGTATATATATTATATATAGTTTATAATATCATCGATTTATCCATCTACTATGCTGTGTATTAGATAATAACATGTTCGCAAATGGTGATTTTATTTTTTATTATATATACAGGGTATCTGACATAAAATGTCACACTGAAAATAATTATACAAGTAGATCTCATTATTTGGAAACGATTTTTCCTCAGCAAACATATCGAGGGAGGCCGTCATTTTGTGCATGTTATCAATTTTTGCCATCATGTATCTTTATAACTAAACCTTAAATTAAAATTTTATTAAAGTAAACTCTACTTGAAATTAATTAGAGAATGTGGTTTTGTTAATATTTTATTTCCACAAGGCTTAATATTTGCGGAAAACCCTTTATTTTTATTAACTCGAAAATGATTAATTGTCTCAATATTTTTGCTGAGGAAAAATTGCCTCCAAATAACAAGATCTATACTTGTATAATTTCGCTGTGACCTTGTCAGACACCCTTGAATATAAAAAGAAATATATTTATTTTTCTCTTTCTCTTGAATGAGATCGACTTATATCTACATATACACACCCGCATACACAGATATATATATATCTAAACATGCTGTGTCATGTCACCCACGTATACGCCTACGCGAACTTTACGTTTCTCTCTGTGTGCGATATCAATAACGTTAATGAGCAAGTGCAGGTGAAACACAATTCTTAAACACGGAGAATCTACGTCGGATCAGGCTTAAAGTGTGTCGTTTTTCGAAAGGTCGATAAATCAAACCGAGCGATATATATAAAGGCTCTAAGAAATGACGTGCGAACGATAAAGTTGATCCAAAGTACGGCTCGTATCGTGGGATATATATCCTGTTTTATACGATGAAATATCATATATCCTTCGAAGGCGTCTTCATAATGACGGCCCTGCTGATACATTTGATATGACTTGGAATAAACTCGGAAGATTTATCGATACGATCGGTTTTTAGGTTTTTCCTCGTCGTAAACGTAACTCATATACGAAGAGCTCGTTTCTCTCGAATAATTGGTCCTTGGAGACAAGGACCCAACTTCTTTCTCTCTCTCCGTTAAGGGAAAATAATCAATATATAACGTTACTGAAGACGCACTTAAGTCGCCTCTCGATTTAAGATGCTTATTTTTGCTTCGCCGCGTAGTCGGCGAAGAAAAAAAAAAGAGAAGAAGGTGCAAAGTCTCGTATAATGCTCGTTCCAGTTACAGACAATGAGAAACAGACCGCGAAATCTGCAAGCTCGTCGCAGGAGATGGCCCCTGCGACTGGGTCTGTTCCTGATCTACGTCCTGGTGCAGTACGTCGCCTCCGCGAGGATCGCATCGTCTGAGACGACGACGACGATGACGCTCACCTCGAGTTCCGTGCAGTACGAGGGCAGCTCGATGTCGGAGTCGACGGAGTCTTCGATCGTCTCCACCGACGAGACGATAGAGGAATCGTCGACAATCATCGAGGAGCCGAGAAGAAAAATTCATACTGAGGGATCTAAGAATGAAAAGGCGAGAGGACACGGAGATGCGAAAGCGTCCGAGAAGGCAAGTATACGAGACCTGGCGAAGGAAGGAAAGGAGCCACCGAAGAAGGAGACCGAGCCGCCTTTGCTGAAACATGTCCGAAGCACTACGGTTAGTGCAGCGACCCAATAGGGGTTGATTTTCAAGAAAATTAGATTAGAGACTCGGATCATATTATTACATATTATCGTATTTAGATTATATTTATTTTATATTATTTTTTTAATTTGTTATATTTTATTTTAATTTTATATATTTTATTATATTATACATTATATTTATATTATAATTTAAATTAAATATATATAATATATATATTTATTAAAATATTATATATAATAAATATAAAAAAAAAATATATATATATTAAATATACATATATATATGTATATTATCGGATAAAAAAGCTGCGGATGCATTTCATGTAATGCACTATGCACAAGAGCTCGATGATTAATTGAAAATTATTTTAATTAATTTTTAGATAAATAATAATTGATTAATTTAAAAAAATGTTAACAGGTCACTCCGACTATCCAGACGACTCCTGTAACGAAGCCTTATCCGTATCCCACCGTGAGACCTCGAAGAACCAATTGTTCGGCGCCTGCCATAGAACAGTTTCCACGACCGTTGATGGGTCCAGAGGCTAGAAAGCACGGTGGACTCATAATACACATTCTGGTCGCTATCTATACGTTCCTGGGCCTCGCCATAGTGTGCGACGATTACTTCGTCTCGAGTCTGGATAGAATCTGCGAAGGTAAACTTACCATATATGTACAAGATTTTCTTCCGGTTGTAAGATAATCTCACTTTCAAGTTACATAATGTTACGCGTGGTCTAGTTTCACGCAAGAGAAGATCATGTTTCATCGTATATGAACGATATTTGTTATTAACAGAGAATAATATATCATCTCAGCATGATTAATGGTTTTCTTTTACAATGAAGAAAAATGTTCGTAATGCTATCTTTGTTTACCCGATACATTCAAATTCATCTAGTTTGAAAGATAGCTTCCATGTGACCTGACTTTATTATTCTTTTTTCTCCAGAATTAAGACTGTCTCCCGATGTCGCCGGAGCGACCTTCATGGCAGCCGGTTCTTCCGCGCCTGAATTAGCGACGGTGATCATTGGTGTGTTCTTCGCCAAGGATGACATTGGAGTAAGTACAATCGCGATCACTTAATTGCGCTTTGTACACTTTGCTACTAAATTATTGAGAAGCGTGAACTGAATCGAAGAACAATATTTCATAACGAGCGGGCGAATATATATTTGTTCTATTAAGGACTCGTCGCGTTATTGTCACTAGCGGGTCTATGCAGTTGTAAACGCACCAGATGTTATCATGTTCCCGCCGCAATAATTGACGGGACAAGAGTCCGATAATTAAACCTCGTGTTGTTCATTTCAGGTGAGCGGCGTTATCGGTAGCGCCGTTTTCAATATAATGTTTGTTATATCGATCTGCGGCCTATGCTCCGCTACGGCCTCCAAATTGAATTGGTGGCCTCTCTGTCGAGACTGCTTTTTCTACGCCATCTCGATTCTCGTGATGCTGGGCACCATTTACAACGAGACCATATCTTGGTTGGTATATTTGATTGAACTCGATTGCATCCGATCCCGAGTGGAAATTCATATGAAATATTAATACAACGAATCAACATACGTAAAACGCGAAAATATTAATTTTTCAGGCTAGAGTCTCTGTTCATGTTGGTCATGTACGCAGTCTATTGCGTGGCACTTTCGTTCAACGTTAAATTGGAACGTTGGGCGAAGTCGTACAACATTCCGTTCCTGCCGAAAGACGATGAACCCGCCGAGGAGAGCGCCCTAGTGAGTTACAGATCCTTACAAGAAGAGCGGTTATCCTACACCGGCCCCAACTCACCGATCACCGAGCAAATCAAGAATCAGGAAGGTACTTAATTATCTTATTTGCATTTTCCTTTAGTATTTTCTATACAAATCTGAGAATATTACCCTCTTCTTTCTTTAGGAAATGGCATTCAAGAAACAATCGAGCAACAGCAGCAGCAACAACAACAACCACCACCGGTACCGAAGCAACCCGAATATTATAAAGCGAAAGAACCGGATCCCAATGAAGTCTCGCCTCTCGTGATGCCCACGGATGGCAATAAATGGACCTTATTCACCTGGGGTCTGGTGTACCCCATTCATTTTATGTGTCGAGCAACAATGCCTGATTGTCGGCAAGAGAAGTGGCGAAGCTGGTATCCCTTTACTTTCTGTATATCGATGATCTGGATCAGTTTCTACAGCTACATAATGGTGTGGATGATCACAATCATAGGTAATAGATTATCATTTAAATGCAAGTCGACAGTGTTTTTTGTGCAATATTAAGGCTCCTAGGTTCTCGTCGTGACCATGTTAGATTGTGACGTCAGAGGCGAGAAAGATACGTATTTATTGAAATATTTTTTCATTTAAAAATCACATCTAAGAATTTTTAGCGTGTTTTCTCACAATTCCAACATGATCGGCGAGGACTCAAGAGCCTTAATGGAACTGTATTAGTAAAGCGACTAATTTTACTATTAGGAAGCACTCTCGGCATTCCCGACACCGTCATGGGCTTGACTTTCGTTGCCGCTGGTGTAAGCGTACCGGATGCCCTTTCCTCGCTGGCGGTTATAAAGGAGGGCCTCGGCGACATGGCGGTCAGTAACGCCGTAGGTAGCAATGTTTTCGACATTTTGGTATGCCTCGGTCTTCCGTGGTTTATACAGACCGCCATGATACAGCCTGGTTCGCACGTAAACGTCACCAGCAGAGGTATTATATAGGGAGTTTATCCATCATTACATATCTGTAATATATATATTTCATCGTTTACACGTCTTTCGCATTCTAGGTTTGACGTATTCCACTGTTTCTTTGCTATCGACGGTGGTATTTCTAGTGCTGGCGACACACTTGAACGGCTGGAAGCTGGACCGACGATACGGTGTGGTCTTGATGATCTGGTACTTAATATTCATCGTGTTCGCGGCACTATACGAGCTCAACGTCTTCGGCCAGATGAATCCTCCAGTATGTCCCAGCACGTTCTAATGCAAAATACGCCTCGTTCGTTTCCCATCTTTGCTTTGCTCAAACGCGGAACGATCGTCCGGAACTAGGAGTCGTCGTCTCGGCCGATCGGATCGCGAACGATGACGCGCGCACGGTATCGCGAAATAACGCTCAGCGACTTTGTTCCCTTCACCCTTCCCCTTTCTACTCGATGAGCGAAGGCTGAACGAGAGAAGACGGAAGAGAGTTTTAGAAGCTAGTTGCATGTCCGAAGAAGAAGTATAGTCTTTAGCTTGTTGCGGAATTGGAGTGACCGTTCCAGGTTTTTTAGGTAGGAAAAAAACAGGGCTTGAGCTTTCTTTCTTTCTAGAGTTGTTGTAGAGAATGCAGACAATACGTGCTCGCGCGTGAGTACACAGGCATTGTATCCTATTAGTGCTATCGAAAAGTGACGAACGAGTATTTTGCTTGCTTCCGTTCGCGATTACGAGTTTGATGGAATACGGATTCCTCACGGTCGAATGTGTATGTATAATTGAATCTCACATGAAAGTACAGACGAGTTACGAATTTTTTAAAGTAACGAATTATTAAAATTCTCGGGATACGAGAGCTCTCGAACAGACAATACAACTGTACCAACATATTGACAGTATCGCGGACAGTTGTTTGCTATAATCAAAAATCGGCGTGTTTCAAAAAATGTAATTGTTTATAAAGTTTTAACTCTCTCTCAAATCTTAACTCTTAGCCACAGACCTTATTGTGTCGCGCGCGCGAAACTTGTTCGAATCGAGATATAAGATGTGATACGTTTTATACAGCCATAATCGCGCAAATGCCTGAGTACCATGAAAGGAATGCGTTTTGACAATTAATCGTTTTATATCCTAACATTATATAGATTATAAAAAAGATACAGTAGATATACGGCTTGTTAGAATATATAGATCTTAGGAGCGTCATGTCTGCGGCTAAATGTTAAGACTGTTAACGGTGCTATGCGAATATATCGATGGAAATTATGGAGACTATTATGTCTCTACGGAACGTATATGCAAGATTTTTTCTTATTGTTATCGCAATGCAAATAAGCGTGATCCTTACATCTTTTATTCGACATTTACTTGACTTTTTTTCAAATACGTCTTTTTTATATCACAAACTCTCTATATTTTATATATAGAGTGCATTGCGTGAAATGTATGCGATATCAAAATAAGAAATATTTTCGTGCGCCTCGAAATTAATTAATTAATTATTTATTTATTAAAATAATTAGGATTTACTAATTTTTTTCCGATAAAATGCTGCCGGCATTCAAGTAGACCGAAAGAGACGAGACTTCGCGAGATCAAAGGAGATCCCTTGTTAGCGTGAGTGTGAGCGTACGTAAGATCACATCTTTTTCAAGCATAAAAATGGATATCTTAAAAAAAATTCGCGCGAAGAATAAGCCAAAAATGAAAACTACTCTCAAAAACTATTCTCATGAAATTATTTTAAAAAATGACCGAAATTTTCGAGAACGGAGGAGCAAGCGAAATTTCATTCGTGACCAAAAAAAGAAAAAAATAGATGAGGAGGGAGGGGCAAAGGGAGAGTTGGTTTTTTCCACGAGGGTGAACGAGCGCTGAAAAAGACAATAATTAACGCAGCCTTATCCGATGAAAGTATCTACAACCAGCACTATATATATAACTGCGCGTTCCTTGAGAGGAACCTCTCGCACGGTATAAAATCGGCGTATCTCTCCGCTTCCGGGATCCTTTGATCTTTCGAGCGCGCCGGGATCGGTATCTTGTTATATGGGCAAGTTTATTAATTAATTCCGCGATGGAGTTCTCGCAGAAAAAGAAATTAAGAAGAAGAGGAGTTAAATATATTAAAGCTGAAAAGATATTAAAATAAAAAGAAAACATCGATTTGATGAGATACAGGGTGTTGAAAAAAGGTAAAATATTTTAAGAGGATTTAGTATGTCTCAAAATAAGTTAAAAAGTCTTGATAAACATGGATTCGCAAATATGAGCCATATTTTTTAGATATTTTTTAGATATTTGCAATATCTCGTATAACTTAACTTACCTATAATTTGATTTAATTTACTTTCGCATGAATAAAATAATAAATAAAAAATAATAAAAATATAAAAATAAAGTATATACAAATCAAAAACGATTTATTTGCGGATTCAATATTTATTAAAACTTTTGACTTGTCTTCTTTAAAATATTTTATCCTTTTTTTCAACACTACATTCAATTAAAAGTGATAAAATGAGACTTTCGAATCGATAGGACATTGTACGGATAGTCTCGATGAAATTTATATGAAAGATTTCCTTTATATAAATTGTCTTTATATATTATTGATATATCCTGCGAGTCGTCCGTCGAGAGTTGTTTTCCTTTAATCGAAAATGATCGCGGATACGCGATCCGTAAGAGATCGCAAGGATCGCGCAGACGCTTTATAGTGTGATTATAAAAATCTCTAGCGTACGTACACATACGTAATATAATATATTATATATATATAAATAACGCGAAAAGGCTTAGAAGAGATCTCATTACGATTATTGAACGTTCAACGTGTTTGTTCACTACGTTTATCCGTTATTGTTAGCGCGTTAGAGCGATGAGAATTACGCATATATATATATACGTATATATATATATACAAGAATATAAATAATATAGCGTTTCGATGCGTTTGATGCTGATCGTTTGAGTTGTTGCCGAATATATGTATATGTCATGTCGAGATGACGTGAAAAATTATTGGTTTAAGGCTCTTGAGTCTTCGTTGCGGCATGTCAGATTGTGACGTCAGAGGCGAGAAAGTACACGCTGAAAATTCTTATAAGAGGTCATTTTTAAATGAAAAGATATTTCGAAATGGCATTTAAAAATTTTTCGTGTTTCTCGCCTCAGGCGTCACAATTCCAACATCGTCGGTGAAGAACCACGAACCTTAATAATCCGCTAATATATACCGAGCCAAAAGAAAGAAAGTATATCTTCCTCAATCATCTCTCGCGAATGATCTCAGCATCGAACGCGTCGACGCGCATCGGCTTCCAGGATTTAGGAAGCGCCGAAGATCGATTTTTTTAGTAAGGCGCCTTAGATCTACGTTAAGCGGACCAGTCTCGCTATCGATTTCGCGGATCGCATCGCGACAAAATCGATCGCATAATTCAAAAAGGAGATATAAACTTCTCGTTTGCGTACAGGAGAGACGAAAAGAACATTCGTCAGCGAAGTACTTAAAATTTAGGCTTCTCTCTCTCGAAGGAGAGTATACTTAACTAAACTGCGATGACGTCAATTTAACGCTTCTGTCAATGAATAAGTATCTGGATATCCCAACTTTAAATGTCAAAAATGTGTCGGACCTTTTCTTCGGACCTGAAATAAAATAGAAGGATCTTTGTTGTTATTTTGTTTAAATGTAAGAATATAAGAAATATGATAAACAGAATAATTTAAATATAAGAAATATTATAAAAAGAATCTAGATGTCTAGCAGTAGTTAGTATAAAACAAAAATTATGCATTGACAGAAGAGTTGACAGATAAAAATGTGATTGTGAAAGACTTAATCGAGTTCTCAGACAGATTATCGTTCCCCTTTCTTTTGAGGAAAGAATTAAATCCGCCGCTGACGAATGAATAAGAGATTCGCGAGTCCGCATCTCGATCATCAACGAAAATGGAAACGTGTAAGGGATTAAGTTTAACGTTAAGTGGTCTACCCGTCTAATCTTTCCGGCGACCTTCCACCTACTGAATTTCCGGCTGAACGGCAAACACGATTGTTCGGGAACCGAATGTCATTAGAGTCAATTCACTTTGCGGCAATTATTAGAAAGTAGTAGTTATAGATAAAGTGCAGAGGGCGAGCAAAGGAGAGGCGCGTCCTCTTCATCATTATTCGGTTCGCCCGATCAATTTGACGGTGTCCTTAATAGCGTGTAAACAAAGTCAATAATACCTTTTTAGACGTTTCTCTCTTTCATAATTCGTAAAATTCTCGTTGTGACTCGCCCGTCCTTTATAATATATGTATATATCCATTTATATGTCAAGCGGTTCCCGAATCGCGGTCGCGAGAGGAAGCCGGCGTTTATTCATTTAATTATTTTCCGCACGTTTTATGTAATACTTACACAGAAACATACTTACATACATGCAAGGTACCTCTTGTACAAAACTCAAGATACGTACGATGATAACGTATTATCGATAACACGAAGTAATATGTGAAACGCGAGGGTGGAAACAAAGCGTGGAGATCAGACGTGTAATCTTGTTGTTGAGAAACCTACTATGGTATATAAGCGTATAGATTTTATATCACACATTGTGTACTTAGATATTATATTACCGAGATATTACCTGATTATAATTAAGTTTATACAGCCGTCTCCTCTCTACCTGCAGTATTATTCCCAGTCTTCGTCGAATACGTTCGTGTGTACCTGTAATTATCGCGTGGAGGGAGCCCTGTAATAACTCATCGTTTCTTTGGAGATCCTCATCATTTGCCTCTCTTCTTGCGTCTTCAGGTCAGGTCGGATCGTCCGCACAAACCGGCAGCTTCGCGAAAGTATAATATAAAACGGGTTACGCTGACACGTATACACAATTTATATAGGTAAAAAAAATTAATTAACTGTAACGTAAAGAAAGTGTATGTACAACGAATAACAACGATATCGGCTGCCACCGAGAAAGTGTGATAGTTATATATATGCTGCTAATTTGCATTATAAACGTATTTTGCTTTATTCTCATGTGTAACTTTCGAATTTCTTGATCTTTTCATTCTTTGACACGTTGCCATTTTTTCTGTGTATTTAATCTCGTGCACCAAGCAAAATACGTAATACGGATATTACCGGGATCTCTCCGACTTTTGTCTTTTTCCTATCGTTATTCAAGTTTCCAGAATTATATCCTAACGCGTCAATATATATCTAGTCATAGCTTATTACGACGTTATGTAAATAATTGTTCTACCAATATATCTCATTACATATAAATATTATACATATATATATTTATTTATAGATTTAAAAAATATATTATTTATATACATATATACATATATGTTTATGTATGTATGTATATTGAAAGTATACATGCGTAGCAAATGCAAGAGCCTAAAATACATATACATATATCTATATATATATTACATAATGAATTCATGCGCACCTCTCATCGCAAAGAGAACTATCTACCGAATGGAAACAATTTAATATTACACGTACCTTATTTAGCTTGACAGCAAAAAGAAAATAGAGAGTAGTTATGTACTCTGATGTATACTTAAAACGTTTCAACAATAAATAAAGCTATTGCTACCAATTAAATCTTGGCTTGAAAGATAAACTAATTAACTACTGTGTTAATTAATCTAGTTCTAAAATTTGCGAGCAAATAATAACATCAGATTTTTACAAGTTCCATTAATATTTATATTTTATCAAATTTTATATGTTTATCTTAAATATCGATTCGCACAACACGTGCTAAATATTGTTAATAATGTATACTTTGACAATCTATATTTTTAGCCATGATGATACTTTTTTTGTATGCGTGGAGCGTTTGCAATTATTTTGTTCTTATAACTGCATTCACGATGCTTACGAAACATTTTTGCGAAAAAATCCACGTATGGATTTTTAAAATTTATCACAGTTCTTTAACATAAAAAAATGACGAATGTGGCCTTTTGGACTCAAGATTCCGCAATTTTATGCTCCAGTTGTTGCGTCTGTTGATATTCTTCATTACATGGTATATCGTGATTCGACATAGATTGTAATTTAAGCGGGCAATTGTCCAAAGTCGATTCAAGGGTGTAGAGTTTGTCGAGTTGTTGCCGAATATGATTCAGACATTCCAGACGAACGGTCTTTTTACTGGAGTCTGTCGAGTTTCTGTGTATCGTCAAAGCGTTGAACAATAATTGCCAGCCGTTTTCCTGGAGTTCACGACTTATATTCTCGATGGTCTCTTCCGTTTCTTCCTGTCGCATCGGTGCGTCATTCTAGACAAAACGAAAAATATTACATTGATAAAGTATATTCGGCTCGGTTGTTTTAAATGAATTTTTATTTGCAGGAGCTATATTAAAGAGATATTTTGTTTCCGATATATAGACCACGGTCAACTTCTAGAGATCATTTACCTTTATAACTTTTTATGACAAAAACAAGGAATCAATTTGTTTAAAAAATATAGTGCCTCCATTTAAAGAACAAAAATGATCTTTAAACGATCTTAAAAAGCGTTCTTTGGAACATTTTCCCAAATAGCAAAAGTAGTCATTTTGACGGCAAAATAATGCTATAACAGTTACTGTGGCTATCTGAGTTGTACACTCAAAAATAAAAAAGCTTATGCGGGTGATCGATTAAAATGGGACACCCTATATATTTACTTTCGCGTTGTCCATGGTGTCGAGCATATGATCGATCGATTCCAAAATTCGAGTCTTCGTGGCGTGGAGATCCAGCTTGGGTAAATGCGCAGGCCCATTAAGTGTGAGTTTCTTTGCGGATTCTTCAATTGATTCCTTGATCAATGCGGATGACTCATTTGACGCAGCGTCGCCAGATGGTCTCTTCTGCTTCGTCGCTCTCGCCACGACATCGCGTTTACGTCCGTCGAGCCTCTTATCGTTATCTTCGTTTACCCTCGTCACCGCTGCCGTTTCGCCCTTCAGCCTCTCTAGCTCTTCAAATTCCAGAATGAGCTTTCTCGCTTCTTGATACTCGCGCGTGTTCCGCTGATAGTCGACGTCGCTTTCGGTGTTCCTCATCTCCGAGATATATTCTCCGTTCCCGCCTACACCTTGATATCTCGACGATCTGAGATGTGGATTTATTATGCGCGATTCCTTCTCCTCTCTCTTCCTCGACTGGCGAACGCACGAAGCGTACTTGGCGGACATCTCGCTTTCGGCGTCAGAATATTCTTGTTCGTCCGGTGATCCCTGAAAGACAGTCTAAAGCGATCAGATAAATTAAAGCTGATTATACTATGTAGATTATTTTACAAAGTGAATTATATAGTTCACTTATATATATATATATATATATATAATTCCTAAGAAATTCCTAAGAATTATATATATATATATATAATTTTTAGGAATTTGCGAAACAAAAAATTTGACCTTACCTCTGGTTCTCTCAAGTGACTATGCCTCTTCAACGAGCTCTTGGTCGGTGCCGATTGCGTGTATTTGGAGCAAGCTTCGACATCTTCGTTGACCAGTTCCGGATTCACTGTGTCTCCCTTTATCCTACATAAGTATCTGTCGTGTTCGGTTCTTCGCTGACGACGGGCTTGCTGATACGACCTTCTGGGACAACGAGAATGCGCACCAGTCTGACAATCGTGCCAATATATCTTCTGCGACAGAGGACTACTCTGCGACTTCTTGATGGTCGAGCTGACCGGCTCCGTGAAGACGCATTCATATCGGTTTAACATAGCTTCGACATTTTCCAAAGTTCTTTAAGGTCAAAGAAACAATATATTATAATTTATTATTATTATATTAAAATTTATTATAACATATTATATATAATTATATTATATATATAATTTATTAATTCAGTTGAATAAGAAGCCATTTTTTTTATTTTACCTTGGTCCACTAGACGGAGAAGATCTTTGTCTTTCGGGCGGACAGTGGCATGAGGGACAATGCTTTTCGTATCTCCTCGTTCTTCTCTTTCGTGTCGCGATGCTGCGCAACGCATCCTCGTACTCGTTTTGCCCGCAATTGGAGCAGAAGTCGCCGCGATGATATCCGGCGTACTCTTTGTATCCATTCGCAGGCATTCTCTTGTACAGTTCCATGGTCTCCTGTGATAAGTCATAGCTCAATCATAGCTCAGAAGCAACTCTCAATCATCTCAAATGTAGCATAAACTCACCATATTCGTTACAATCGCTCTGACTCGCTTTACTAAATCTTTTTTCTATTTAATATATATTTATATATTTTTTATCAAAATTCTGTCGAGGAGAATTCAGATTTCTAATCGTTATTGATACATAATTTTTAATTTGCATCCCTCATGCCGAATTTTATTCGATCAGCGAAAAAAGAAGATGAAACATGAATGTCGAAGAAATATGAAAAATTATAAGTTAAATGATTACGAAAAATTATATACATCCGCACGATAGGGAACACGAGTTTGACAGGTTTTTAATCGATGCGAACATGTTTCGATTCGAGTTTATCGCAAAGTTTAATTCGCAAATTCACGGAAAATTTAATTTAACTAGATAACACAAGCGTATGCTTCGCGCGCGCTAAACAAATTTTTACTCCGCGAGTGTACATAATTTTAATTCGCCGAATTTCAATTATGTACATAACTCTAATTCCCGAATTTCTATTATACATAATTTTAATTTGCTGAATTTCTATTATAAACATAATTTTAATTCGCCGTATTTCTTTTATGTAAATAATTTTAATTTTTTATTTTCCATTATGCTCATAATTTTAATTCTTGAATTTCTATAATAAAAATATTTCCATATACATACCTATATATGTAAATATAAAATTGGCACGATAGATTTAATTACTTAAAAAATACTGTTTATTGTAAAACAAGTTGTATATCTCTCTTTTGACGGGGCATAATGTAAAATAAATATAGTATCATACATACAAATGTACACGTGTGCGCGCGACAACGCACAGGTAATAGTATACATCAATATTTTACAGTTTAACATCTTGTAGAATATTTCTCTTTCTCGACATACGGTCAACGTCAATTAAAAAGAAGCTAGAATATCACTGAACGGGGTTCCGGGTTCCTTAGCAGCTGCTTCGAAAGTCTCGACAAACGCCTTCTTTTGCGATTCCTTGGGCAGCTGAAATCATTTGATATGACAAAATAAGATAAATGATAAATGACAAGTATATATGTGTAAATTAAGAAATATTAATCTATACCTTGTGATAAAAGTCCGAAGCGGCTATGCACAACATCTTTTTATCTTCATATTCATATTTTCCTATTCTAGATTGAACGTACGGAAATCTACAATTATAGCTAAGGAATCGCACTATTTTTACGTTTATAACGTAATTTTTATGTCTATGTTTATATTTTTACAACAATTTCATGAAAGTATAAAAACATTTCTTTAAAATTCTTTTACTATTTTGTAAAAAAATTATAGAGTTAAGTCAATCCGGAAAAGGATACAAAGCTCTCAACCAATGATTCGTCGATGCGCTTATAAAGAAACAGGACAAACACCAGGTCGACATCGCCATCGGCAAGCTCTGAATGAAATTTGGTAAACTAAAGACCACCCAGTCTTGAAGGAGCTCCATTTCCGTGCAGGTACACGCTTTCTCACAGACCTGGAAGAATTAGAATTGCAGAGTTCACATTTGTCCCTTACATGCGATACGTAATTTCATCTTCTCGCAAATTTACGAACTTTAAAGACAACGGCGGAGAGTAATCTCGGATGTGGTTGTTGCGGAGACAGAAATTCTCCTATGACCTTGGTCAGGATCTCGGAAGGAGGGAAAAAGTCGCCGAGAACACTCGACAGAACCGTGCACAGCACCTCCACCTCCATGGGATGACCTTTGCGGATCTTGTCGAATATCGCAGATATACGCTCTATGGATCGGACTAGCGTCTCTGGTTCTACATCAGGTAACGGTTCTTCAACACCGGGGCGATTCAGTCGGTCGGCCGCCTCCGTGTACATACACGTCAGCAGAAGCTGCAACGCCGGTAAAGCCAGCAACGGGCTCGGTTGCTTCAGCCGGTCTATTGCGATCTTAACGACCTGCTCGGCGACCTTTCCAACTACGCTCTTCGTTGCCACGAGCCTCTCGAGACCCTGTCGGGGCAAATAAATGAGCAAGGTTTCTTCGTATCACATATAAATCGAGTTTATTGCAACGCTGTGTCTAATAAGTGACGTACCTGCAGCAGCATCTGATGTAAACCGGATGAGAGATTCTGGGATGTGACTAGAGAAAGGACTAATTCCAATACGGCTGGTGCTTCCGAGTCCGGAGGCGTATCCTCGGCGTGTTCCAGCAGGAAGAATACCAAAGCCCACATTATTCCCTGATGCTCCTCGCTTTGGCTTGAAATGCTGTACATAAGCACAAGAACTTAGACAAAAAGAAATTGTATCAAATAAATGAACGGATGATTTTGATCATTCTTTTTTACTCGATCGAAATTAAATTGGATTTCACGAAATTACCTATTTGAATCTTGCGAGTCAATGTGCTTCTGTATATACTCGATGGCTAGAGGATGTATAATATTCATTGTTTCCTCGCACTTGGTCAGTACCGCGCTTTGCAGCAGATACAAAGAGCCGTGAAGCGCGGAAACTCTGGAGGCGAGAAAGCCGGATTTAAAATTAATGTCCACTATGCGTTTCACCTTATCCAAAGTATCCAAGTCCTGATAAAGAGATAATATATTAGTTAAAAATTATTTTAATATTTTTATATTATTTATAATATATTATTTAATAATTAATAATATAGTAAATTAGTTAATAATTTATACTACCAAGGGCGTTAAAACGGCAGCGGCTTTACACGTAGAAATAGCCAGATATTGATGTAGAATCACGTTCTCTATCGGATGTATCCTGGAGACTTCTAGACACACGTCCAACATCCACTGATACTGCGATCTTTCCAGAAAGAGTTCCGAGATCGCCAGAATCGACTTGACGATCTCCGTCAACAATTGTACCGGTGTCCTGGCCTGCGGTGACATCCAGATGGTATAGTGTTCAATAAGGAAACGCAGACACGAGTCCAGATCGAGCGACGCGGACATCAGCGCGTCATTCCTTCTGTTCCTCAGGTCCAGAACGGAAGCGTTCAATTTGTCCTCGTACAAATTGCAAAGCGACCACAAGTAGGAGACCGACAGTTGACTATACGTGAATCTGTCGGAGATCATCGCGGCCCTCTCGACGTTTCCTCTGCGAAATATGTGCTCCAATCTCAGACCAGTCTTACCGTCCGCGTCGTTCATGTACTCGTACTTCCACAGGAGCAGCTCTTGTATCGCGTACAGTTTCTGAGAACTGATCTTGTGAACCGAGAGCTGCGGATCTCTCGGATGGTGAATCAGAACGCTGGCGTCGGGATTGCCGGGACACGGCAGCAGTAACGTCTGCAGCAGCAATCTCGTGATCGCTTGAACCGCCAGGCCACTGGCTTGAATCAGAGCCACTACGTCCTCCTTGGACGTGTTCTCGTTCTGGGGAAAGTTGAGAACGCTTAGAAACGCCATCCAGATCTCTTCGAATTGCGACCTCGATGTCCAGCCCAGTAAATTGACTCGGTAAATGAACTGCTCTAGAATATCCACCTCTTGCAGAAGATTGGACTCGGACGACAGCAGAGGGAAGTAGCACTTGGTGGGACCCGAGCCGACGATGTGACCCGTGCCGCGTTTCCACGCCAAAGGAGGCGTCAAGATGTAAGAGTTCACCAACGGCTGTCGACTTATGCTAACGACTAGAGATTTTATCATGTTGAACAGGTACGGCGGGATGTCTCTCGTGGAGGAGCCTTCCACCTGACGCTTCTCGAGCCAAGCTACTATCGACGCCATCTGGATGCACGCCCGAGCGTAATCCTTGGTGTCGTCGTCTTCGAGAGCCGGCTTTAACGCCTGCGAATCCACGATCGGTAGAGGATCCATCGTCGTTAGTACACTCTCCACGACTCTCGTGACGGAAATCGCCGCGGAACAGACCCAGGTGTAACGAGTACTCTCCCCGAAAATTTTACTCGGAGCTGCGTGCCTCAGAATCTCGGCCGCGCAACTCAGCGCGAGGTCCATATCGTGCGGCTTCAATTTATGAAGATTCCGTCCATCGGAATAGATCATCCAATGCACCAGCTCGAGACATAACATGGAAAACTTGGCGATATCCTCTTCGAATCTCACATCAATCTTAGCTACGTTGTACTTGGCCAGTTTCGGTAACGTCTTCATGTAAATCTTGACGGTTGGGATTATCGTGAACAGAATTTCCCAATAAAGAGGGTCGCTCATCAGTTCGGAAAATCTAGCGGCGTATTTTAATTCCTTCCCGCTACTATTCCCCTCCGCTTCCGGATTGTAAATCTGATGCGGCCTCGGCACGAGTTCGCAGATATAGTGGATGTGCTCCAGCAGACACTGTTTAGCGGCGACATACAAAGGGCTCGCGTTGAAATGAAAATCCTTCTCGCACTGGGCTTGCCCGAATTCCAACTCCTGGCACTTCTCGATGCTGAATCTCGCGCCCAATATTACGCAGTATTTCAAGATCTTCAGATTGAACTCTTTGCAGGAGAGAATGCTCAAGCAATCGTCGAAATCCAAGTCCTTGAGTAACTGCGCCAACTCCATAGGATTGTTGCCGGCGCTGGCGTGGCAGCATCGTAATTTCACCTGCGACAGGAACCAATTCCGATCCAACTGAATGCTCTTCACGGTGGACGGATTGAACGGTCTGCACTGATCGAGCTCTAACGGCGACAGATCATAATATTGTACAGTCAGCTTGTTCAACAGGCTGACCAGGCCACCATGTTTTCTGGCCAGCTTGGTGGTCTGTAGGATGTCCATAATCTTGACAAGATCATTCTTCGACAATTGATCGACAGCGTCCTCCGCGCTGGTGGTCAACAGGATCTCCACTCTACGGCTGGCAATTTTCGCCGCCATTCTCGATAGAGCAAGATACTTGGTGGACAAGAGTCTCGGTATCAAGGTCATTATAACCGCGCCGCTCTGCGAGTGATGCGCACCCTCGATGCACTGTAGCAGCCGTTTGATAAAACTGGGTCGCGATAGATCCGTACATTTGGTCGCTATCGCTTGCACCAACAGTCCGCTGGCCGCCGGGTTTCTGTGTATAGCCGTGGTCAGAAGATCCCTTACCGGAGACTCCACAGCGATGTCCACGGCTTCCTCTATATGGTTGACCAACAGCCACGTGAGCGGTTCCACGTCGTTGAGATTCTCGCATATGTAGTCGCAGAATAATATGATTCCTCCTCTCCTGATAATCTGATTGTTTATACTACCATTCATATAATCGGACGTGAGCTTTTTCTCGCTCGGTCGAAGATGTATGACGACATAATCGGTGCTCTCGCTGGTACCCAACACCTTTGACCAGAAGGACATCTCGTTGTATCCCAGCAGGATCATTAGATAGGCCCACTGACACGTCACTGTCGGGCATACGTTTCCGATGCCGAGCATCAAGCAGTTCAAGTCGTCGACGAGCAGCTTCTCCTCGTCGGACACGTTGCGTCCTTGAATCATTTGCATTGTCGCGTTCGCCACCTTGCAATGGCTGCCGGATTCGAACATGTGAATGCACAATTGCAGGAAGAAAGCGAACTGATGCACCAGATAATTGTCATCCGCCGTGTAATCGGAGAAACCGACGAAGGGATCCAGGGATTTGTGATTCACCAGTCCGAGTAGATTGAACACCTTCCCGCTTATCAGGTTGATCACCTTGAATATAAATCGGGCAAATATATGTTCCGGTGGCATTTGGCGCGACTGGATGCTCAAGGCGTTCAAAGGATCCGTGGAACATTCGTGGGAGGAAGAGGAAGAGTCGGAACATTGATGTGGCGAGAACAGGGGCGACACATCTGTTACACATATATTGAGATCCAAGAGACGCGCCAGCATAGCCTCTTCCTTCGCGCAGGAGATTAATGAGAGCAGGACGACGTTGATCATGCCTAGCCATCGCTTCAGTTTCAGACTCGACGCTGTCGTGGATATCGATGCGGTAAAGAGTATCTTGAGGAGAGGATCCACCGGTCGGAAAACCGTAGGCGAGACAGCCGCAAATAGCTTCACCAGTGCGACGTGCGCTTTCTCGGATTCTATCCTGAGCTTTCCAGCGGCCAATATCGGAAGCACAGTGTCCATAGTCAGTCTGGACCATCTTCGCCACTTCTCCTCGCCGTTTCCATCGCCGCTGAATCTAGACTCTGCCAGACACAGCGCCAAAAGCTCGACTATCTCGTGATACTCCACCAGACGCAGCAGCATGGCTATCAGCACATCCCTCGTTGTTTCCAATTCCCGCTGCTCGATCACGCTCGAGCTTCCGTTGCGAATGAGGAATATATCCTCGATAACGGGCGCTAGCGCAGGTATACAATGCGTGATCGCCGGTTGTCCGCTTGCCATCAGACCGTCACATAACTGGATTATCTTCGGTATACCTATTATCGCTTTCGAGTGATTCTTCTCGTAGGATAGGTGCACCAAGAAATTGAATATCCTCGGCAGAAGATCTTCGGTCTGCTGTACGTGACCCTCTTCGATAAATTCGAACTGCTTCAATACGAATCCGATGAATATCTTATCGGAATCAAGGAGACAGTAATTGACCTTGAGTTGAACCAGTTGACTCAGTAGCATCAGAACTTGGCACTGCAATGCGATGTTACTCGTGACGGTGTATTGTTTCAAAGACTTTATAACCATTGGCTCAAAGAGACGAATGAATGATGCTACCGACGTCTTTTGATCCGAGGATCGCGCCAAAGTTTAAAAACCGACGAAAATTTCCGATCGCCTTTTCTGCGTAGCAATCCTATCCACCTGTGAAAATGTAATTTATGATTTAATAAAAATATTTAATTTTTATTTAAATTATTTATAACAAATTTATTGTATAGAAAATTCATTTTAATAAATGATAGATTATATATATAGATATAAAATATAGATATAAATATAAAATAAATTATAATGATATTAATACAATTCAAGAACAGCTAATTTTTAATTTAATATTGTAGATTTAATGAATTTTTGTTTAAGAAATTAAGCAAAAAATTATTAAAATAAAATAAAATTTAATTTATCTATTTAATAGAAATATGGTTTATTGATTTATATTTTAAGATCTGTTTTGCTTAATGTTAAGAAAAATTAAATAGCCGCAATAAGTAAGTATATAAATTAAAGTCAAGTGAAAAAATTAAATATTAACATAGTTTACATATCAGAATAATTACCCGGTATCCGGTTCGTTTTCACCCCTGCAATTATTCCCGATGCATTTGATCGTATTGGCCATTTGCCTGGCTGGATATTGAAAGCACTGATTGTAAAAACCTCCGATGTCATCTCGCAGAGTACCGCAACGATCCGTAATTTTCTGCACGTCCAGCTCGCTCCACTGTGCGCACACATTTGTGCCAAACAAGCATTTCAACAGTTGTTGCACGCATCGAACCGTCGCCGTAGGCGACAACACGACGGTGGTTTTCAGATAAGACAACACCTCCTCTGCTATTTTACTCGCTTCGTTGACGGATGCGATTTCGAGGATCTGTGAGAGAACATCTAGCATCGCGTTCAGCAGAGAAACGTACATTTCGCTAGCTTCATGCTGTAGAGTGACCAAGTAATTGGAATGTGCCGCTTTCAAAATGTCATGTATTCTCATGTAATGCGGTATCCCGACGAACGTTCCCATATGTTCCTTTCCGCTTCTTAAACCAATCCTCTCACCCTTCTCCTTCGACTTCTGCTCCGACATAATTTTCTTCTTCGGTGACAACGTTTGCGTGGACGATAAGGACGAAAATACGGGCTTGGCACTGGCTTGTATCAGCTGCACCTCGTCGACGACGTGGACGAAGATGTTGAGAACTCTGGTGATGTGCGTCAATAACAATTCCATGTATCTGTCCTTCGAGATGTTCCACATTTTTGTCGAATCACTACCGGCTTTAAAACTGCAGACGGCCAATCCGGAGGCCAAATTGCCGGCGAGGAGGATCAGATGTCGATGGGTGGACAAGTCCAAGCTGATGGTCGACGACGTTAACAGGGGCAAAGTCAATGATAAGAGACCGCTGCTCACCGGAGACGAAATCATCTCGTTCGCGAAATTGATGTCGCTGGTATCTGATCGGTCGCTATTCTTCTTAGATTTCTTCGGCAGGGTCTTCATTAAAATACAATCCCATCCTCTCGCGTAAACCGTGGTCGGGTAAGTCTCGCTCAAGCGGAAAAGAGTCTCGCAGCATCCGTAAATGAGATATTTCGAGGAATGTACCGTTAGTATCTCCGTTAAAATGTTAACTATGCGCGAGAGGGAATATTCCACACTGGAATCGTAATTTACGCCATTATAATGATTCAGATAGACAAAGGGCTTGACAGACGTGTTCACGAACGGCTTATGTTTGTCCTGGTAAGATGACAGTTCCGAGATACTTGATGTTACAGCGCTTAAAAATTGTTGAGTATATTGCGTAGCCTTTCTAGTAACAGTGTCCTCTTGAGGATGTCGGAAATATAAACAAGGGATACTCCTGGAATAAAAAGTGCAAGGTGGTATCGATTCAAAAGATATATGATTAATAAAATGTGACAAAATACTTTATAAATGTGTCTTACTTAACAATAGCTTCCGACGCGGCGTGTCTCACCCTTTGGTCTGGATCACCCAATAAAGCTATTATAACATCAATAAAATGCTCTTGGAACAACGATTGTCCTGTTATGTGTTCTATCGTTATATAGGACAATTTACTCAACAAGTCAACTAATTTTACTTTTACCAGAAAATAGGGATTTTTTACAAGTTTTGGCAATATAGTCAAGATTGCAAGACCATGTTCATTGCTGACGGAATCTAGTAATTCTGATAAGCAGAGATTCAACGCATCTAATGTTTGACGACAGGTTGTTGCAGAATCATCATTCAAGCCCTACAAATTTGACAAAAGTAAGTTAAAAATTTAAGGAGAAATATCTTAGTTTTTAAAAGAACATTGTTGTATAAACTTACATTTAAAAGTAGCTTTATCAAGTCTTCTAACGATACTGTCTTATGTCTTTTCTGAATTGAACATTCCGTTTCAAAGTTCTGGAAGGAACCGCCATACTGAACAAATACAGACTTCAAAAAGATTCCGATCAGCATTGCTATGTTGCCCCTGATTTGAGGATCTGAATGATTCGCAAATAGTAAAATGTCTGCAATAAATTGATTCTCATTGCAGCTTGACTCTTTGGTCACGGTCATCGTAAACAAATGTGGGTAAAGCTTCAAGATGTAACCCACGCATGTTAGAGCGAGAGACTTTACGCTGACGCGAAATAATTTGTCCGATACTAAATGCCCGGGTTTGCCCGCCAGCAAGAAGGACGACACCAGATAGCGGCAACAATACTTGACAGGCATATCCGAGTCCGTAAAATTTCCGACATCTGTCTCGTACAATGCGAAATCCAAAGAAGATTTTTTCGGGGAAGCAAAGGACAGAGTGGCCTCTTCGGAGTAATCCTCCTTCGATCGTTCACTTTGCAGGCTCGGATATGGCGTTTTCTCCGATTTTTCAATTTCACTTTCGAGATCGCTACCTTCTTCCGTAACTTCGTCATCTGAAAAACATTGAAAGCTAGTATTTGTAAAGTTATTATGCGAGTTACGTTTATGCATACTTGTTCTTACTATTAATAGCTCCAATTTTCAGACCGCAATAACTTTCCGATATCTTCTCTTCCATATCTGTCACATCGTCGCTCGTTTCACATTCGTTTTGCGTTGTTTGTGGATTAGATGTGGCTGGCACAATCGTTTCCGTATCCGCAATCCACTTTTCTATATTCGGTGTAATCTCAGGAATATCAGGTTCCTGTATCAAGTTCAAGATGGAATCGGAATTTCCACCATAAGCGGTACTTGCACTAGAAATACTCATTTGACCCAGTGAAGGGGCGCACGCATTTTGATTTATCAATATCCTGCTTTGACTTATGCCTTCTGAGGACAATAAAACAGATACTAATGACTTTGGGGGCATTTTTAAAAGTTGTGCCAAGGTCTCTAAAGCTGCATTTATGACATTATGATCGGAATGCCATTTTGTATAATGCAAACACAATTCATAAATGTTTAATAGATTATCTATCTGTTGCATCTCAACATCTTGAGGCTCTAAGGGTTTACATATATAAGGTAAAATCACTCTCAGACAGCCAAACCCGCCTATAATAGTAGATGGGTAATCTTCAACATTTCTCGTGGATGTCATTATATCTGTAATAGAAATGAAATATATCAATTTAATAAATAAACAAGTTAATTGAAATCAATTTTTGCACATATGTATAACAATTTATATTTACTATACCTAATAGATAATTTAATACATAATTTAAGAAGAACTGTGGCTTTCTGCAATTTATACATGTTGCCAAAATCATATTTGCTGCTGCTCTACGAAAAGCTGCTTGAGAAGAGGTAATATTTTCAATGAATGCTTTTAACAAGTTCTAAAACAGATTTAATATTTTTAAAACTTATGATAATATAAAACTTCATAATTATAAGTATAATGTCAAGGCACTTACCTTAACATCCTTATCTGTCATAAAAGGTCCTAACACTTTTAAAATTAATGGTAATGACTGCGATAATGTTTCAATCACCGTATCTTCAGATCGATGCGCAATGATTACTATACAAGGTATTAGATTTGATACATAAGCTTTACCCCTTGAGGGACGTATCATATGACTTAGTAAACCAAATCTCCAAAGAGCAGCCCTCAATATACGTGCAGGTCCATTTCTTTTTATTTCATTGTAAAGCTCTATCTGAATCTTAACAATGTTGCTGTCAACCATTGCCTAAGGAAAAAATAAATCATACATATATATATATATACATATATAAAATTGATTATATAAATATATGTGTTGCATATCTTATGCTAGAGTTTCATGAGCTATTTGCTATCAATATCTCATTACAAGTTTTATAACAGATAATGCTGTTGGCATAAAAATATATAAATACAATTATACTTTTATAATTTTATTAAGAGATTCATCCGCAACCATCCTGACATCCGATTCATTGTCATTGCACAAAGCTAGCAGTGTTTCAACAGTAGCGGTGAGAATTTGTGGAAACTTGGGATTCTGTCTGACAGTTGGCGAACATATCCCATCGACAATGATTGTGCAACACGATATCTTCTCTTTCCTATTCAAATATAGAAATTTATTTTCATTGAACAGTCTTGATAGATTTATGTCAGAGAATGTTTATTGTTTATATACCTTGCTCCGGAATCCGACGAGATGTCCGATTCTCGTAGCGCATTTAACGTTTCCACAGCCTTCAATACATTATTCAAGTGAGCCATGCCGTATTAAAAAAAAATTGCTAGTTTCCTCAATAAATTTTCCTCAAATCGTGTGATTGACGAGTGACATTTTGTTACTCCTGACAGCGCATTTTTGACAGATCATGACACCGCGAAATACTACATCGCTACACGCTGGCCGATGCCATACTCGGAACCAGCTGTTCGGCGTTCGGAGTACGCTCGGTGTGCATTCGGGTGAGATCGTACGTAGACGTAGAGGGAGAGAGATAGACTTCTCCGCTCGAAGACTCAAATCATCAAAGGAGTGACATTTCCGAGCGCCTAAGGGGATACGTTTTGATCACATATATATAAAACACTGTGGTTTCCATATATACTGTCATACTACTGGAAAACTATAGGTAACATTACGTTTATTATTTTCTTACAATGTATAGAAACATAGTCTAAAGTAATTTGCGACGCATTCCAATAATGATATAAAACATTATTATTATTATTATTATATGTATATATTTGTTATATAATAATTATAATAATAATTATTATATATTATTATATAATTGTTAATTATTAATGTTTAATTCATTATTATAATATTCATATATAATAATTAATAATTATATAAGTATATTAAATAATTTACATATATAGATACATATATATAATAAGAAAGTTTTTGAGGGATACTTATTAGATTAATTAAATAAAAGATAATTAAAAAAACATAACATTCTCTAAGTATAAGTTATAAAATAAATGTAAAGCTTTGATGTAACAATTAAAGAGAGAGAGATAATATATATACATATAGATATAATTAAAAATACTTCATACATACTTAATATACTTAATATACCTTAATATACTTATACATATACAAAAGATACTTAATATACAAAAATCTTACAAAATAGAATTGTGAGAGTGAATGAGGACAAACTGGTAAAAAAATCAAGACAGAATATGAAAAGAGAAATAAGAATTACAAAAGCGCAAGTTATCAGAATTCGCATGTCTTCGCTTTTATTACAGTGCCAGAAAATTTAATTATATCATTTTTATTTTATCGTTCTGTATACTTAGAAATTTATGAACGTTTCATACTTTATTTTTGTTGTATTGTTTATGTGCACACATTATTCATTCTCGAAAATTACTTCATTTTAAACTTGATTTTTATTCTATTCATTTTTAATGTCACTTGCTTTTTCATTTCATTGCATATCAAAATTTCAAAAAATTTTTTCACGTATTTACATAGCTATAAAATACTTATTATCAATTCATCTGCTTTATTTTTCATTTCTTTCTTTATTCAGAGAGAATTAGTGGTTCTTCATATGGTTCACACAACTTCACTTATATATATTCTTATATTTATATATATTCTTATATTTATTTTTATTCGTCATATTCAAATTAATAGATACTATTATTAATTGTTTTACAATACTTTATGTTTTATTTTTTTAACGTATACATACGTTTCTGTCTAGATGAGTACAATAAAAATAAGAACGGAATGTGTGTGTGGTGTTCTGCTCTCTATCTATATAAACACACACATATATGTATATACATGTTATTTGTGAAGAAGAATTAGAAATAATAAAAATGTATTATTAAAATATCATAAGACCTGTTCGTGTTAATAAAATTGCGGAGTCTTTACATGACACGTGTCTGTGAAAGAAATTAAAGTTATTAAATATCGTAGAAATGAATTTCTAAAGCTCTAATCTTTAACATACTCTATACATATATATACTACATGATATGTACTCACACACATGTATATGCACAAAGAGTATTAAAAATAAATCCGAGTGTATAACTTTTAAACCTTGAGTCACTCCCACATTGATAATATAATTTCGCAGTTTATAATAAAGTTCTTAACAAGAGATTATATTGAAGATATTATATTAAAATATGCTGTATTTTTTGCTATAATTATCTTGATCAATTATAAGAATAATATAAAAAATAGTGATTTAAAAAACTAATTTTTACAAGATTTTCAAAATAACCTTTGAGTCAAAATAATACTATTTATGCATCACTTCAAATGTTACAATTTTTGAAGCATTTTTAAAAATATTTTTAAACTATTCAGTCATCCCTTTATATACACTTTGTACATATAATTTATACATATATATATGTATATAAATAATTCGATCATAATTTTGTACATTTTTTAATAAGATATAAATTTTTTTAAGATCTCTTAATATATTAATTGATATATGTATATAAATTTTTTCATTATATTCTTTTTTAATAATTATGTGCTGTTTTCTTATCAGTTCTTAATAAGGAAGAAAAATAAGAAAAGTAATTATATAAGGATATTCATATATAGCTATAGTATCATTTATAATTCACACTTAAATCTTATATTTCAATATGAATAATAATAGGAATAATATATTAATGACAATGATAAGAAATTTATCGTCCAATTATTGTTGGCTCATCAGCCATAGCTATTTCTTCAGTAGGTGCTTTATCCCTTTTTCTTTTTCTTGAAAAATCATGAAGATAAAACCAGACATGAGATTGATTAAAAACACGATCCACGCAAGAACAAGCGAATAATCATATTTTATCGATGCACCTTTTGGAAAAATTGCACTAACGTATTTACTTTGATAGTCAATAGAAGAAAGCAGTACTTGTATCACCACCATGTTGCAAGCAGCTGCAAAAAATGAAGACATGAAATTAAATTTTATGTACACATATATATACATATTTTTACAAAAATAACATTTCTTTAATATAAAAAAATTTATAATTTTTATAATTTAAATACTTAACTTTCTTTACAATTTCTGAATTTTTTATACTATTAATTTATATTTATATTTTTTAATTTTCTGTTGCAAAATCTGTATATTCTAGATGGAAAAAAATCATTTTTGTAAAAAAATTTTATTTTAATTGAAAAGAAAAATATAGTTAGCATCTTTTTTATCAAAGTTTAAGAATCTCGTACTTAATAGAAAATCATTTTCAGGAGACAATTCTGCAATTGTAATATTTTTTTAGTTTATATAGACATTTTATTTTCTAATAATAGTCACAACTCACAAAATAAAGTTTTTGAGCTATAGTGGCTTAAATCTAACATCTCATTGCTTAAGTTATCAGTGCAATAAAGTATAAATAGTTCTTTATGTTCGTCGTTCTCATCATATTTTGTAAAAATACATATTGTTGTGTTTATGACATGCAGAATCACGTGTACACACACACACACAAACACACACACATACACAGAGCTACGAGAGTTTGGAGTTTATATATATATATATATATATATATTATATATATATATATATATTATTATTATTATTATTATATATATTATTCTTAATTTAGAACAACATTTCGGGGATTATTAAGACACATGCCTCATTTATTTATTACTTGATATTATCTTTTGTAATCGATTGTAAACACTTTACTTTTACTACATTTTTTTACAGATTTTCCTAAAAAAGTTAAAAATCGAGAAACAGGGACATTAAATGAATCTTTCGATCTATTTTTAAATGTTTTATGTAATAATATATAAAAAATATATAAAAATATTAAAAATTGAAAAGTTTTACAGATTTGCAACTTTTCGCGTAAAATCTATCCTGCATCATAAAATTTTATTTTTTATTTTAACTTTATTAACGTATATTGGATGCAACTTTGTCTTACAAATTATGCAAATTTAGATTAAAATTAAAATTACAGTTTTTTTCATAATTTTTCAACTTTATACAATATAGAAATTTAATAAAAATTAATACCAAATAATTTTAAAATGTATAAGGTAAATAATAATAAATAATAATATAAGTTATGGCATAAATAGTGATATTTATTTATATAAAATAATTTTGAATCTAAAATATAATTTTAAGTGTGCACTATAACTATAATAATTTGAGAACTTACCAAAGACGTACAACGGAAATGTGGATCGAGACATAAATTTTTTTATTAATCGATCTGTTGAAGATGGTCCAAGGGGGGAAATAATTGAAACGTTCAAATTAAATAAAGATTTTAAAACAAGTTTGTTGCGCCTGGCTCTTATTAGCCCGTTTCCTTCCTGAATTTGTATGTACTAAAACTGTTCCATCGTAAAATTACATGGATTGGTAATATTATTCAATAAGCAACAAAACCGGCGCGAGCTAATTATGAACTTTCGTCATTATTGTGTTTATAACAAAATTTTTGTTTCGCTAATACGTTATTTTTGTTATTGTATTATCAACAATTATTTAAAGTATTGCATATAATAATATGGACGAAAATAATGTCTTTCAGATTATCAGATGAAGATATATAATATTTTTCTAAATTTAAAATTGTAAGAGAGTAATAAAAAAAATAATACATATATTTATTTTAATTAAAGAACCGTTTAAGCATCTTAACAAATAATAAACTGAAAAATAAACGTTTTTCGTCATTTCACTTACTATTAGATAAATGTTGATAACACAATATAACCACGAACAATTTACATGATATTTTTAGAATATCTCTCTTTTTGTATATAATAATTATTTAACTCATAAGTACAAAATCGGATTAAAAACTTATTATTGATTAACAACTTATTATATGGATAAAAATTAATATATTATACATAATTACCAGTTATAAAATGTATTCCTCCGGCAAGCCGCTTAAACATATAGCGTGGATTTAGGAATGTGTAAATTGAAAAGCTGCAGCCCAACATCATTACGAAAAGACTGATTAAAGCAAACGAGACTTCAGTCTTGGCGAAATCTGAAAAACATAGGTTGATTAAGTTAGACTATAATACATATTTAGATCGCATATTATAGAATTATATCGGCATATATACCACACATACACCCTCTTGTGTATATGCACATGTATATAAACATACAGCGAATATAAAGTTTCAATACGTTTTATACCAGTCAAACTTAATAAAATTGAATCTCTGATAATAATAATTAAAAAAATAGAAATTTTTAATTATACTTACCCAGCATTGTCAAGTTCACACTTGGATCTAGCTCTATTTGAGTCTGTGTTGGAAACATATCCAAATACTCGCAGTCGGCTGAACAATAATTACATGTATACAATTTATATAATAAACTTATCAAACTTATTTATAAGAAAGAGAATAACTTTTTATTTAAATTTCTTATATTATTAGTTTTTAAACTATTAACAATTTAATTGCTATGCCATTTATATTTAGGTGACGCGTGAATTTCCACAAAGGCCTGTTTGTAGATGACGGTTTTATTTATCCAATTAGAAATAATTTTACAAAATTATAAAAATTTTTACTAGTTATAAAAATATATTAAAAACAAGAGATATTATTAAAATAATACACTAGATTTATGAAAAATATATTTCTTTTTCTATTTTTCTATTTATTTGTGTGTGTGCTTTAATCACAAAAAGTTATTATTTCAATTGAAGTTTTATTTATCCTAGTTTGAAATTTATATTATTAAATATTTACAAAAATATTAAACAAAAATAATAAAATATTTGTATATCATTAATTTATTAAAAACTTAAAAATAAACATAAAAATGATATTAATTTTGCACGAAATTTGGGAAGCAATTCAAACATAATTGTGGTTTTGCAGAATGTTATATCTATAGATTTGGAGGAATGGATAAAAAAAGACGTATTCTTATAAAATATTAAAATATACTTATAGTATATACAATATATTTATATACATTTATGTATATATTGTATATTTCACAGATATACATTCTTGATGTAGTGCAAATCTAAAGAAATGTATATGCAAATGTAACCGGAATTATGTATACTTAAAAAGGTACAAAGATATACCCAGGTAGCACATGAATGTCCAGTCGATATCCATCAAATATCTATTTCTAGACATTCATTTTCAACCTAAAAAGGATCCGCATCAATATATACACACACACAAATGAAAATTAGAAAGTAAAGTTTCCAACTAACTTATTTTTAATACACTTTATTTTTACAAAAGTTTTTACATGTTTTATAAAGATACATCTTTAGACTTTCAATACAATTTTCTTCTTTTTATTAAGGTACTTTTTTATGAATACTAAAAGATCTATGAATCAAAACCCTGTCGATAAAAAGCGGGAATCCTTCTATATTTTCTTTTGCATACTTTGCATTGCTTATCCTTTCGTGCATTTCATCTTTGACATCTTCATTTAAATAAAATCCACCTTCCTACTGAACGATTTCATTCAAGTGAAGATGTCAAGGATGAAATGCAGAAATGGCTTCGTAAGCAAGACCCCACTTTCCATGGACAAAGTTTTGATTCATGCGTCTTCTTGCTAGACAAGTGCCTCAATAAAGAAGGAAATTATGCTGAAAAGCAATAGATATATCTTTAAAAGATATATAAGCAAAAAAAAGTATTAAAAGAAAACAAATTTTATACTTTCTGTATAACTTCGCCTCGTGTATAAATATATACATTGGAGAGAAAGGAGGGATTTTAAATTATAAATAATAATTAAACTAAATTTGAATGCGTTATTTTTCAATCTCATAAAAAGTTATTTTTACAAAAAAATTACGATCTTTTAAAGAGTTTTGTAATTCTACTTGACAAAACTTTAAGTTACACCAAAAGATCTCTTTATATGAAATTAGTGAAATTGTCTTTCTTTATGTTATACAAATTATAAAAAAACATTCTATACAAATTTAATATAAAAATATAATTCTATAAAATTATATATAAATTAAGTTAATTTAAAAAATTCTAAAACAATATTTTTATTATATTTTGTGAAAAAATAAGTCACTAACACTTACTATAACGTATTAAGTCGGAAGAGTTTTCCGATTCAGGCATCCATCCGGTGATACAGCTTCTCCAGAGACCTGAGTGTTTGGAAATCAATTTTCTGTTAACTTTACCAGAACGGTTTGCTAAAGGTAAACCTTCATCATCTGGTGATTTAACTATGAACCAATGATCAGTTCCTATAGCCACGGACCATATGCATACTGCCAGTCCCACAAGAGCAGTGCAACCCAGAAGAAGTCGCCTTTCAAAAATAACCTAGTAGAAATATTACAATATTTATATATTTCTTTAATTTTAAACAAATATTGATATTTTTTACTCACATAGTACAAAAATCCCGGAAATATTTTAGAGAAATTTTTTTGAAATATCTATGACAAAATTGATAGATAGAAGTCTAAGAAAAAGTTAAGACACAAATATCCATATCAAATTTTAAAAATTAATGAACGCAAGATATAAATTAAAATAATATTTTCATAAATAATTTACAATTGAAAAATATGTATATGTATGTATATACACACACATACAAACACATATTAGAAAAGTTTATAAAAAATTAAAATTATCTATTATTATTTTATATATATATATCATTTGTATATATAATTTCATATTTTAAATTTTATATATCAACAATAAAATATATATACTATTTTAAATTATATGTTACATTATTATATCAAATATTAACATATATTTTATAGACATAATTTTTTCTTTAATAAAATATCCAAATTTTTATTATTGTATAGAACACAAAAAAATTATAATATAAATTTATACATTATAAATAGTAACTTAATAAATGAAACTAATCATTCTAAAAGGAAGTTTCAAACAAACTTCTAATATAAAATAATGCAGCACATGAGCATGTGGAAAACTATAAGCTTTTTGTATGAAAAAAATATTATGTATAAGCGCTAAAGAGATACAAGATAAAGAATCCCGAATTTTAAAAGTAAAACTGTTTAAGTATAAAATACAATAAATGATTATTAATGAGAAAGCTGAAATTTTTCTAACAGAAACCTTTAGATTATAGAGATAAAGCATGCGTAGATATATAATGATAATAGATGAAGAAATATTATCTGAAAAGATAAATTTCTCACAAAAAACCTACATTCTAAAAAACATAAAACAAATAATAAAAACTGCATATATCTTTGCCTGATATGACATTCTTGAAGATGTTCATCTGATTCTGCGGCTTCTTATCACACTCGAATGGAGACGTTAGATTCCTGAAACGTTGACAAATTTTAAACTAAAATTTACTTAGTTTTTAAAGAAATAAAAGATATAATCGTGAGAGAATACATCAAGAAATACTCTACTTTTAAAATCATATTTATTATTAGACTAATTTTCTTTGGTCGATCCTCTTTGTTTAATTTATGTATTCGCGAATATAAGAATTTATTAAAATAAATTTAATTGAAGAAAGTAATATGCAAATTCAATATATATTATAAACTTATAAATCAGATAGCACAGAAATTTACTTTATTACATCTTAAACTAAACACTAATAAATGTTTTGTTGCTTTTTAAATCAATTATTTCTTAGCGTCTTTGCAATAAACTTTGATTTAATTTAATTTAATTAATTTTTTCCATATTAAAATTCTAATCATTTTAATTATTTAATTTTATTCCATTGTTTGATCTTAAATAAACATAACTGATGTTAAATAGTCGAATAGATAAATCATTAAATTAATCTATAACATTTATATTTCTTATCGTAAATCTAGTAATTAATTAATTAGTTAATTTAATACATAAAAATTTTTTGTTATGGCAACTTCCTAATATGTGCTAGTCTAATCTATAATCATATTTTGTTACTTCGATTTATTATTTTATTACAATTTATTACATTGATTTGTACATTATAGATATTAAAATGCTAGTAGTATATATTAGTAGTATATACTAGCAATTATAATCATGACTTTGCAGCACAATGTGCTGCGTTTTCATTAAGTTAATATTAATCTTAATTTTGTTAATACAAGAAAATTAGAATATTTAACAAAAACAATCACATTATTAAATATGATATATAGAACATCGTTGGACAAATGTAGCTTATTAAGAATAAATAACATATCAAAAACATTATTCAAGATCATAGACACGAATGACAAAAAACTTAATAGTAAATAATTAAAACTACAAGATAATCAACAAACACTTCAAACACGTGAAACACTTTTAGTTACACTTGCTGAAACATTAAATTCAAATATTATAGCGCATCTAGTTAAACATGCACACAATTTATAGAAAATATTTTAGATCACAATAAAAAAACTTTGAAAACAATAAATTATAGAGTTTATTTATAGGAAATGAAGAATGCTCTAAAATTAGTAGCGTTTCGACGGTATTTTGTAAACATAATCACGCGACCAGTTAATTAATTTTTATGTACTTGGCCTCGTGACACCACCGCGTCGCTTGATTACACTGTACAAAAATTATATATAATATTACAACCATTGTAGTACGTAATTTTTGGACCATCTGTATAAAGGTATATTTATTTATATTAGAGTAAAAGTTTATCTTGCGGATACATATATATTTTAATAGTGTTTTTATTTTAAAAGCGTTCGTAATTTTGTGCAAAATAAATATAAAAAATAAAATGAAAACTACGAAAATTGATACCTTGGAAATTATTTCAAAAATTTCCAATATTTTTTATATTTTTTATAAATTCATATATAAATTTGTCATATATATAGATTTGAATTTCATCGACTATCGATGCAGCTTTTTAAATGTGTTAGCGATTTCATTTCTTGATAATTAAATTATTTAAATATTTAAATCTTGTATTTCTGTATTATCTGTTATCGACATTTATCATTGTGTCTTAACTCTCTCTTCTAAGTAGATTTCTATCTACTTCTAAGCAAATCTCTAATATTGTCACAAATTTTTATTGATTAAAATAACACGAACTGTGAACTAGTTTGCATATGCCAGCGTTTAGTTAAATGCTAAAGATCTACCTAATTTAATGATATGTGCATTCAAATAAATTATTATAGTACGTATATTATACCTTATTGTACAAAGCCTCTGTGCGATTTTCCATGTCGTCTTCTGTTTCTCCCTGCCTTTTGGTAGCAATTCAAGAATGCGTGTCTGGCACGTGCGATTAGTCGATAATGGCTTCAACGACGTTCTCAAAAAGTGTTTATAACTTAACTTGGACCAACAACCTGGCAAGACAGAAAAAGGTCACATGCACAAGAATACATTTTTATATTTATTAGGTTAATGCAAAACATTTGTCATATTTCTCAAATAAAATTACAAATGGAATAATATACAGAATATTTCGTTCGTTTGACAAATATCAGAAAATCACGAAATTTACAAGGAAAGTCATTCTAATTTTGAAATCTAGTTTCATCTTCTTAAAATGAAATACCATATTTTGGACAAAATCTTCGATTCCAGCTGTTTCGATAATAAAAAGATAAAAGGTAACGTTCCTAAAAAATTGCAAATCACTCATATTTTAGCTAGTATCAATGCAACTTCGATAAAATTTTATAGATTAATGTACTTGCAACTTAAAACAAATTCATATTTACAAAAACAAAAGTAATTCTTTAATGTTGAAATTTCTATGATACAAACAAGAAGTGCTAATCGCTAAAATATCTCAATCAACAATTAATTAGTTTAAATGAAAAAATGATCTGCAAGCACAGCAAGTCATCTTTAATTAAGGCTATTACAAATAGTCTTAAAATTTATTTCAGTAAATTGGCTACAGCATAATTTTTGTAGACAAAAATCCGTTTTTGAATTAGAAATACTTTAACAAATTCCATCAAAATTGCATCAATATTGGCTAAAATGCGTGTCTTACAATTTGTAAACAATATTACTTTTGCGTCTTCTATAATCATCAAAACAGTTGAAAATCAAGAATATTATCCGAAATATGATATTTTATATGACTGTAGAAATACAAACTAAGAAAATTATGTAGGTCTTGCTATAAACTCAAAATATTTGGCGAATTTTTCACTTGTTAAAATATTTTAGAGGTGTAGCATATCATAACTGTTCGACTGTATATTATCAAAATAATATCATTCATAAAGTCATCTCACTTTCATATATTATTCAAAGAAATATTTTATGAATTAGAATAAGATGCAGTAAGATTTGCACATTGACAAGCTCTCAGCGAATGGACAGCAACATGTTTCCAAGATAAACACTTTGAATAGAGTACTTCTAAAAATAAATTTCTAATCATTGATTTAATATATCCGTCATGTGGTGTGACAGGATGTCCTAGAACTGGTGGAAAAGTTTTTAATGGCAGATTCCTGGTATTATTTGGAGACGATTTAGTAAAAATGTTGAAAGAGGCCATCATTTTTAGCACGTTCCCAATTTTTGTTATTATGTATCCTTATAACTAAGCCTTATATTAAAATTCTATTAAAGCAAACTCTATCTAAAATTAACTAAAGAATGTAGTTCTGTTAATATTTTATTTTCACAAGGCTTAGTTTCCAAAAAAGCCTTTATTTTCAACTGCTTATAATTCGAAAATTATTGGTGTCTCGACATTTTCGCTGAGGAAAAATCATCTCCGAATGATATCAGGAATCTGCATTAAAAACTTTTCCGACAGTTCTGGGACATCCAGTATATATATAATTATTTTAATATAATTATTATTATATATAATAATTATTTCAATATATAATTATTTTAATTATTTTACATAATATATAAAATATAATAATTTGAAATTAATGATAGTCGCCAGTAATAAAATATAATGTTATTATGTTATTTTAATGTACATAGTCAAAAGAACAATAAAATAATAGAAATATATATAAAAGCAACATTTATACAATAATAATAATAATTTTATTTTAATATTTACAATAATATACTCAAATAAACAATTTTTTATTCTTTACTTAACTACTATAACTTTACTTAATCCTATAGAGAAATTATAATTTAGAATTAATAAAAGTTGGTCAAACTTTCAAATTAATGAGATATTTAAATCATATTATTTTAAATTATTGCATATTATGTGTATAATTACTTTATTATTTATAAAATAATTATGTGCACCATATTCATTAATTACTTTATGAATAAATACATTAATAACTAGATATATTTAGTTGAGATCAAAACCTTCTATTTTTGTTGAAAATATTTTTCGATTGCACGCATAGCGGAAGACATAATAGACGCTTATAATTTATCTTGTAATTTCAAATTTATAGCTAGTAAAGTCAACATAAAAAAATTGAGAAGAAAAATCATATTCATAATAATTTATTTAATGAAATGCTATGTAAGATGTATAATATGTTATAAAAAAGTTTCAAATAATCACTATAATCTTTGATCGTTGAATCACATGTTCATCTTATTATTTCTAGATTATTATTTATTGCAGCATGGTCTTATATTTTCGAGTGTAATTTATCTTTCTTGATATGCTATATTTTTTACAAGAAAAATCAAATAGAGTTATATCAAAGAAACGAGATAGTCATAAATTTAAGTTTTCATGTCCCTTTCACAGATCAGAATAAATTCATTTATTACAGTAAATATATGAGCTGAAAAGTTATTTAAATATGCAAATGTACAACTAATGTAAAATTCATGAAATTCAAATTATTACATTTAAAGCTTATTTGCAGTCATCAAATTTAATCATTAATATTTTTTAAATAAATAATAAAGCGATTGAAATCTTTTTAAGATTATTCAGGATCATTATCTTGATAAATTATGTTATGCAAGATATAATATCTTGTATTTTATATACATACTTCACGTAATTTACAATTACTGAACTTTAATGTATAATATAGAATAAAAACATTCGATAGAATCATCAGGAATTATTAAAAAGTATTTTCTTTTACAATATATATTAAAATCAAAGTCATCAAAGAAATGTGTTAATAAATAATTAATTTAACACTTATTTGTAGCTTTATTTTTTTCATTAATAAATAATTCCTTGTTAACAAATACATTTTTAATAGTGAGTGCTGGAGGAAATAAAATAAATAAAACTTTAAAAATTAAAAAATTCAAGTCCAAGATTCTGATAATAAATATATCTAACTAACAACGAGCTATTATTAAGAGCCAAGAGGATTAGCTAACCGCAGATTCCTCTCTTCTAATGAGACTCTCTTAATTAATTCTATAAATTTTTAGTTCCTTAGTTAGATCATTATTATTATGTAAATCTAAAGCATACGACCTTCAATCATGACTTTAGCGATCTCCACGACGATGGATCGCAATAATTCTTCGGTTCTAACTGTTGAGAAATAATACTGGACCAGAAATATCTGGTCGTAGTTGCTCGGAAACATTACACAATGTCTGAATATTTGATAGTTCATCGTCCGAGCACACTCATCCGAGCGCCACAAAGGTCGGAACTCAACTGCCAGTTGAACAACCAAATGTTTATGACTGCATAACTTTTACAATGTATACATAATCTTGAGCATAAAATTCTATTATGAGTTGACATGAAATCACACGATCTGCTGCAACGAACGCGAATTTCTCTGTTGCAGTTTGGCACTGCATCTATCGAGCGAGATTCCAACATCGTCATACGAGTGTCGTATATTATATCACACTCAATTAAAGTGGCATAAGGTGTAAAATCTAAATAACTCAGCGGTAAGACTCCAGAAAGCAAAAGACTCGTCTTCAATTTCTTATTCAGTTTGCACTTCCAATTTTTCTCTAGTCTACAAAAGTAATTTTCTAGCGGTTGTTGATTGAAAAACATTATATAGGACAGATACCTTACTCAGATTTATGCTTCTGTCATGGATAAATAATTGCTATACTCTCTAAATTTCTTAGAGTGAAAACTGAACAACTCATTCCAAAAGAGTAGAATTTTATTCCAAAAGAGTGGAATTTCACTCTTTTGGAATAAAATTCTACTCTTTTGGAATGAGTTGTTCAGTTTTCACTCCAAGAAATTTAGAGAGTAGTATGTCTAATGAGTGCACACTCTCGCGCCAACCTTTACTACACTTATATTTATTTATTTAGATCTTGACTAACTACGAGTTCATGTGGCGAGATGTAAAAATCTTAAACGACCTATGGAATTCATGGAAAGAGATTAATATTCATCAAAAATTAAAAAACACTTGAATGACACGGAAAATCTGCATTACGCTTATTTCTTATCGCTAGATGATTTGTTGAAAGTTTAAACGGCGATCAATGTAATTTCAACTCATAAAAAAAATTATGGTAGCGCTTAAAATTATACATATATACATTGTGAAAGTCACGTGGTCATAAACACATTTGATTAGTTAACAGTTGAGTTTCGATTTTTGTGAGTCTCGAATTGAATGAGCGCTCAGGCGATAAACTATTAAATGTTCGACGTTGTGCAATGTTTCCAAGCAACCACGTATTTCTGTTCTCAAATGCTAAAACCTAAAAAAGAATTGTCGCGATTAATTATCGTGGAGATTGTTGAAATTAATCTCATTAAAGATCATATGCATTTTTTAGCTCGATTTACATGCTGATGTTTAATCGAGAGACCGAAATGTACATTTATAGATTAATCAATAGATTTTTATTAGAAGAGAAGAATCTGCGCAAAAATAGCTTTGATAATTCCTCCGAGTTCCTCGGAGGGGAAATAATGTATTAATAATGTAAATTGCGCTCCGCAACCTGCATTCATGTATAAAAATACATAAAAGATAACATAAAAAATGCAAAAACATGTAAAACCATTTAATTTTGTTTTGTGACTTTTTCTCTATCTCGAATTGTTTTAAAAATACAATTCCATTTAGTTCTCCGTAAGACATTCTGTCTACTAAAAAATATTATATTTACATTTTAATAAAGAAATGAGAGAGAGAGAGAGAGAGAGAGAGAAAAGAGAGAGAGAGAGAAAGAAATTATTGTTGTAATGATGATAAATATTTTGAAAAACTGCACAAGAAAAGAATATCATGACAGCAACATTCTATTATAAAGAAGACATTGTGAAATAATATTGATTTTTTTAATATAACAAATCGACATTTTTTTATTTATCAAAAGGTATAAATTATTGATGTAAAACCATTAATTTTTCTGTAAAACAAGCAATCAAATTGACTAAAAATATTAAATGGATTAATAATTAAAAATTCAATATTTGTTTCGTAAATATATGTGTATAAATGTTTATATTTTCAATAAGTATCGATTATTTCACTGCACAATTGAGATAATTATTATTTATAATTTAAATTCTATATTCTATGACATATGACAATATATTTCTAGCCCCTTTAATTTTTGTATTATATTGTCGAAGATCAGAAAACACACAATTCATAACGCAAAGTGCAAAATACAAAATATGATTTTTAAAAAGAGTAGAGTATTGCAAAATAACAAGGTAATTTCGTTAGCGAAGTTCTAATGCCAAAAGAGTATAAGATAGGCCTATCTAGCTTCTATGTTTGATTAACAATAAATGCGCATATTATTTAATCTTCATAAAGCAAATTAAAAAGATGTGAGACAGTAAAAGTTTCTATTTTAAAAGTAAAAATAATTTTAGAGTTTTAATAAGCATGATGAAAGAAAAGTATATTGTATTTATTACATTTATTAAATTTTTCTTTCCCTCTCTATTTCTTTTTTTATGTTTATACCGTGTAAAAAAATAACCAAAAGCATGTACTTAAATCGGACACATATATAAATATAAAAACTATATGAAGATGTTTATATAAGAACAACACAAATTTGTTAATAATAATGAAATAAAATCATTTTTATGATTTTATGCTAATACTAAACTGTAACACAATTTCTTTCTTATGTTCGTGTCTTATAATTTCTCTAACAAAAAGAAAAATAAATTTAATTTAGTGACATTTGTGGCTATTATTTTTACAACAATGTTATACAAGTTGTTCAAAAAGTATATCAGTATAATGGTATCAAAATAAAAAGTAGTTCTATGTATGTTTATAATTTTAAAAAAAAAAAAAAAAAAAAAAAAACAACCCTGCAAATTTATGTTCTTATATTGCTGTATTTTTTAAACTTTAATTTTATGTAAAATAAATTAATTCCTATACATCAGACAGTGACACACACACACACACAGATACACACATACTTACATTTTTTAATTTATATTTTAACATAATTTTAATTTGTGATTTAGTTGTTAAAATACTTAATATTAAATATTGGATAGACGTGACAAATTAGGATTTATTCAATTTCTAAATGAACATTTAATAATTTTTTGGGAAAAATCTATTTTTGATAAATAAATATGAGAAAAAATGTGTCATTTTTATTCAACACTATGTATTTATATGATTCTAAACGGTATATTAGCGGCGCGCACGTGTTCAACAGCCGCGATCGCGGTTGCTCGTCCGGTTTGCCGTCTTCTATTGACTCACCTCGAAATATCTTAGAAGATGTGGTTCGAGCGCAAAACACCGAAAATACCGTTCTTCCACAGTTGACGCGACAGGCCTCACAAAATAGGATATAACACTACGAATATAACAAGACGGAGCTCTAATACCGTCCGTACGCCCTGATTGACGGTCTGACACTGATCTCTACTGAATTCGTGAATAGTAGCTTAAGAAGAGAAGCTCAAACTAGCAGCTAGTTAGAACCAAGGAGTGGGGCAACTTATTTAGTACATAGTCTTTTCTTTTTCCGGATACACACATGGGCATAAACATAAGCACAAAGAACATAGGAATTATATACTTGGAACCTATTTGCACATATATACACGTATATACACAGACACATACATTATCGTAATGTAATAAAATACATATCAAATCATAGAAAATAATTAAATATCTCTTATTTTTTTAAATCCTTAAACTTGTGTATAACTATTAAAATATCAATTAAAATAGATATTGTAAATATTCTATTTTTATAATATTAAACAAAATAATGTTTTAAGTCTTAAACAATTTAAAGAATTCAAGAAACAGTAATTTTGTATATTTATTATGTATTATGCAAAACTAGATAAATGGATATGTGTTTTATTATCTGTAAAATAAGTAAATAAATATTTGTGTAAATAAAAAGAGTTATTTCTTTGAAAATATTAAAAACTAAATAAAATTCAAAATTTTCACAAAAAATTGTTAATCGCCAGTGACAATTTAAAAATAATAATGAGATACAAATTACTTTGACAAAAACTGGCTAATTTCTTTATTAAAAATAAATGAACACTACGTTTCGACCAACATTGTGGTCCTTATCAAATGTAGACGTGAAAATTCACCTGTCATGTTAATAATTTGTTAGCGACTCAGTCGCTAACAAATTATTAACATGACAGGTGAATTTTCACGTCTCCATTTCTGATTAATGTAATTGCGGAATAAGATCAACACTTGATAAGGACCACAATGTTGGTCGAAACGTAATGTTCATTTACTTTTTAATAAAGGAATTAGCCAGTTTTTGGTCAAAGTAATTTGTATCTCATTATTATTTTTAAATAAAATTCAATATATGCATGACTCTTCAACAAGCAATTATAATACAATAAATTACGCAGCTTCTTATAAGGAAACCCGGAAAATACGATTTCAGTAAAACTTTGCATAGATGTAAATAAAATAAGTAGATAAATTTAGAATTTTTAATTAATGTTAAAAATAATTTTAAAGAGTGAAACATCTAAGATATAAAACTACTGCTTGTATTTAGAATTGTTTTCGATTTTTCTTGATATATGCATATAAAAATTATTCAAGATATCAAAAAAAATGTTTTAAATAAACATTTTTATATTTGTGATTATTAAAACATTGGTATAATTATATTATATCATTATACTTTATAATTTTATATTATATTAGCTCCTTTATTTGATGTGGAATAGAGTACATACATTACTTTCTTCAATGTGAATTAAAGTTCGATATACGTCTGATATTGGATGTGAAAAAATAGATTTTTATATAAAAAAAAAAAAAAAAAATCAATTGCTGTTTTTTGTTATTTACAAATATAATGGATACATCTATTTTATCTGACTGTATATAAACAGATATATAAGAATCGTATCAAAAGTAATAAGTAAATTTTGAAAGTATAAGTTTTTTGTAAATTAAAAATTAAAAAATTTATTATTAATAAAACAAGTGTAACAGCTGAATCTTTATACTTTGAATGATTTTTTTCCTCGTTTCTTTCGATACATTTTTTCATCGTTTTGACAATTTAAAGATGGCTTTGCGGAATAATTCAGTTTCAGCAGCTCAAATCTTGCAATCATCTAACAACATTGTGGACTATTTCTAGCCTACGTTGATATTTAGATTTCAGCAAGCATATGAAATGCATGAATGCATGAATGCTAACAGTCAGAAAATGAATGAAACAAAGACAGAAACATAAGCTTTCGAAATCAGTCTCGTAACGATCGCCCTTGAACAATTTCAACTGAATACAAGAAAAAGTGTGTGATCATATATATAATTACTCGCATTTAATTATTTTAATTGTGTCATATTTGTTATATGTACATATTGCCCCTTGAGAATATATCTTGTTGATTTTAATCATATTATACAGACACATAAATATTTCAATTATATTACACTTTATTTAATAAAACAATTTTAATATATTCAAACAAAATAATAAAATAATTAAATTCTATATTATGCATAATTTTATTTTTATTTACACTATGTTTGTAGAAATTGAAAGATTTAAAATAAATATACTTTATAGTGTAATATTTTTTGTACAAATATTATTTCGAACAGATAAATAATAGAATTTCGTGTTTATTGAGTGTTTTCCAATTGAATGTTGATAACACAATACTTTTTCTACTTGTGTGAAGTAGATATAAATTTGATACAACTATATTTTGATACTTTATTATTTCGTAAAACACGCGTATTTATAGTAATATAGATATCTTAAGTATTCATGTCAATTTTATTTTTAATCCAATGTCGCAGAGCTACAGCATCGGTGTATATTCCAGGTGAATATAATTTGCCACAACCGTCTCCCCATGAAGTTATACCGAGTAAAATATTGTCCTTGTTAACTAATGCTCCTCCAGAATCACCCTATTTGAATAATGACAATTAATTAATATATAACGAGAATAATATGATTTAACTAAAGTCTTACTTGACAAGCATCTTGGGCTCCATCCTGATATCCATAACATATCATTTGATTTGTTATTTCGGATCTAAATTTATAATCTTCGTAACATAAGTTTCTTTCTATTTTCGGTATTTCGATACATTTCAACATTTTCGCCACAAATGGATCGATTTCATCGTCGCATTTCTGTATATTTTATAAAAAATTACTTTCTCTCACATATAAACAAATTAAAAAGAGAATGGCAGTATTATACTATATCGATTGTACAATACTATATTGTTATATAATAATTCGTGATTACCAAATAATATCCCCAACCGCAGACTACGCCCCATTCTTTAAAGACATTTTCAGCGTTATATGGTGCTAAACCAACTGGTTTTGTAAAACTATTGTATGCGAACGAAGGCGTTACTTTGATAACAGCAATATCATAATCGTTGATTATGCTATTGTAGTCTTCGTGTATATAAAAATCGGTAACATTATGAATGATGCAATTTTCGTAAAGAATGGAGGATCCGCTGCAAACGCTGATTTCTTTAAGAGGATTAAGAACTCTGTGATATTTTTATCAAAATTAAAAATGTTTATATAATACCTATGTTTATATAATGTAACGATACAGTAAGAATTCAAAATTATCTAAATCTGTTATTTTACTCACGCTGTTACACAATGGGCTGCTGTTATGGCCCACTTATTGTTTATTATAGAAGCACTGCATGCGTATTCACCATTCAACATCAATGACAACTGAAAAATTAAGAGAATTTTGTTACAATATAATCTTGATCAAAATTCAAAACTTACAGTTACAATCTCGAAATTTTGATGAGATATGCTTCAACTATATTTTATTGAGAATTTTAAAAGTTATTTTTAATTTATTACTTTTCTAGAAAGAAGAATTATATACTTTTATTCTATATAATAACAATAAGTAGCAAATAAAAATTTTGTGTATCTAATATTTTGTATCTTATATATTTTATATCCAATTAAAGTTCTATTATTTATAATAATGTAATACTACCTATATATAATATTAACATATATATATAGAGGGTAACCCGCCAAAAAATTGTTAGCTTCAAACCTTTATAACTCAAAGAGTACTCCATGAAAAAATATTTTATTATAAGGTTTTGGAAAGTGCTTAAGATAACCTACAAGAATATGTAATGAAAAATAGATAGTTCCATTTAAGTAATTCAAGTTGACTTTCACATGACCTTCAAATGCTTTTCAAGATCAAATCAATGGCACCATCTTATGTTTCTCTCAAAACCATACAATTTTTGTCTAAAACGTTTTTCTCTAAAATGCGTAGTTTTTGAAAGAAAAGAGGTGTACGAGTGGTCTGGGACACCCTGTATATATTCAATATTAAATTTCATTTAAAAGTTTACTTACCACATAAGGAACTGATTCGATACTGATGTCTGAGCCACCGATGATTCTTTCTTCTGAATTGATCAAACGTGTACAATGCAAATACACTAGATTAAACGTATTAAATTTGGTAAATTTAAAGAACTGTATTTAAATAACTGAATTTGAATAAATGAAATCTGCAACGATATGAATACTCACGAGCGAAATAGAGAAAATTAAGCATTTGAAAACGAGCGTTCATCTTGATGATACAAAAGATACTAACAATTTTAGCTAGCGTAGTTACGATTATAACAGAAATTATCAAAGGACAAAACGTTTATAGTCATTTGCAAAAAAATGGGTCGTTTATCGCTATTCCGGTTATTAAATGAATGTTATCAATGAAAGTATGTTACATAAATATTTATTTATGTTATATAAACTTAAATTTTATTATATTACTTTATTTTATTTAAATATTGTAAAATATACAACATATAAATGTTCATTTAATTTATTTATTCATTTATTAATAGAAAAAAATAATTCTTTAAGAAAATGTAAAAAAATAAATGTATTTATATGCAAATAAAGAAGATATAAAATGTATAATGTAAGACAATTGGATAAAAGCTAGAGTGTTTAATAATGTGTAAAATACTTTTTTTTTCATAACTACTAGAAATTATATTATTACATATATACAAATGTATATATATGTATAATATCTCTATATGTATCTCTATATATACAAGCTGGCGAAAAAGTACCCACATTCTTCAATATTTTGAAGAATATGTATTATTATAAAAAAATATTTTATATTAAAGAATTAACATTAAGCGAGGAAAAGATTTTTCTGTATAAAAGAAATATTAAACATATTATAAGAACAGAATATATTGGACAAAATGAGAAATCTCGATATGAATGGCTGAATAACTTATTGTTAAAGCAGCTTGGCAAGCGAGAAATGCAGATCCGATCTCTTAAAACTTTTACGCTTTCCGCGGAATTTCAATGAGGAAAATCTCTTAGCGCTTTCAACGATTCCAGTCGGACTAAGTAATTCACCCAACAATGATTAATGGCGAACTCGATTATATGCACTAATGAACAAAATCGTATACATAATAGTAATAAGTAACATAATAATAACAGTCAGATAATTATCACAATGAGTTATTGTCATTGTTATTATTATTATTATTATTCGTATTAAATAACAGTATGCTATCGTAAATTTGTATAATAATTTTAAATGTGTACCAAATGTGTACTAGTGTATTTTAATCGAATTTTGTTATTAAATTTTTTATTCAAATAGGCAAGCATTGCATACAAAATTAAAAAGAAAAATTAAAAACTCAAGGATTAAAAACATGAAATAAATCAACAAGAATATCTGTATATAAAGTTCTCAGTCTATAAATGTAAAATTATGACATATAAATATGATAGTATGAGTCGCCAAATTATTCGCAATTTATCATGGTCGAATTACAAGTGAAGAAATATGAAAGCAGCTACAAATGAAGAGCGAGATAATTTTAAATTTTTAATAACTTTTTTATTATTATTAAATATTGTATGATGCAAACGTTATTGATTTTTAAAGTCAGATTTACCTTTTTTTTGTTATTTAATAAACATCACATTTATGAAAAAATTTCTTATATATCGACTTTTTATCCAAACTTTCCTTTCTAAAAAAATTTGTAATCTTATTCCAATCACATTAATTACTCATGATTCAGTAAGCTGTGATTTGTAAATGTTGCGGAGTATTTTTTAAAATATATAAATATATAATGGTTTTAATTAGATTTGAAAAAAAAACAAGATTAGATGAATTAACTCGGTTCCAATAAATGTAAAAATTGTAGATGCAATTTTTATTTATGATATATGTATATATTCTAATAACTAGTACGATGAATTTATATTTTTAAAAAATAAGCTAGAAATCACAAAAAGCTTCATAAACAACAAAAGGTAAGCTAATCTAATAATAGTAAACACACAAGGCTACTGAATAAGTTATATATTAATGCAATATAGTATATAATTATTAATTGAGATCCATTTAAAATCCACACGAAATTAATATTTAAAAATGGACATTATAAATAATAAATTTAATTCATTTTAATTGCATTGCAGATCTAATTTATAATTTAGTAAATTAATTAATATTTTTTGTGGTTCTGCTAATCAATTTCATCGTTAATTAGAAAGGGGTAGTTATATAAGGAATAGTTAATATTTCCAAAAGTATACTTTGCTTTTGTTTTATGATAACGAAATGTTGCAGGATAAAGTAACATTATGTATAGATAGAAACGAAGCAATGACAGTACAGATTTTAGCGACATCCATAGTTTTCACAAACAACACGTTTGCCAACGTGTACCAAAATGCTCCGCAAATGTGGAATCTAATGTAGCGCGAAATTGCGTGTAAAATTTGCAAGTGTAAAGGCCGGAATTCATAGTCTCGATCTTATATTTAAGATCATCTCAAGTCCGAGCTTGAGATGCTGCGCAGTCATTTGATTGGTTGAGTGGAATTTTAAATAAACCTACGACCAGACTTAAGACGATCCTAAATTTAAGATCGAACTGTGAATTCCGGCCTAAGTCTATTATGACTGTACAAAATTTTGGAAAATATAAATTATTATTATTATCGCAAGTTTCGAATCTGTATTACAGTAAAAAAATTATTTTATCTATTTCACTTATATTCACTCAGCGATTGTGCATACCATATATATATATATATATATATATATATATATATATATATATATATTAAAAGCTTCAATACTTAATATTTTTTTGTATAAAATCGAATTTTTCTACAGCGGTAATAATTAGTGAAATCCATACCGATGAGCGTCCGCAGGATTTTTTTCCAGGCAGGGGCATGATTAAAATTTTGTTTATTTCTTATCATTATTCTTTCTTAATTTTTAAAATTCTATTTTTTCTTATTTTGTTATTTTAATATTTTTATATTAAATAAAATTGCAAATAAATTCAGTGTTTATTCACAAGGAGAGCAAATGCTGAATTTTTTTCCAAAGGAAGGGCAAAAGAGGAAATTTACCCCCTTACTATTTTATGACATTTAAATATCTTTTACGTAACAGGCTTAATTTTTCAGGTATATATCGCTAAAAAATTGAACGTTTACTTGAGAACAGATCTTTGGAATAGATTAGGAGTTGGGGAGAGGAAAGAATGTCTCTTTTTCGTAAACAGTTCGCATTAGCGTGCCAAGATAAAGAGCTTGAAAACCCTGAGCGGACCAATAGCTTTGCAAAACAATAGGCGATGGGTGCCAATGGGAATGGGTGGACCACGGAAGCGTCGGCGGTAGTGACAAAGGCGGCGACTAGTAATACCTATGCTCGAGGGGTGGCAGCGGTGTAGCAGCGCGTTGCGACGACCGAAACTACCCTCCTGTCAGTCTGAAAATCGCCGCGTAAGCTCGTCGGCGGAGCGCGCGACCTATGTGTTAAGCTCCGGTATTGCTGTCACTGCCGTCGCTGTCACAAACCGCCGACGCGTTATACGTATATGATACACATCCGTGAGATTAGGACATGTAAGCACATATATGCATATATACATACGTGATTACGCAACACGCGAATACACAAACACGCGTGACCCGTGTGTCCCGTTGGTGTGAATTGCGCGAGTTGCGTTCGAAAGGATTTAGCTACGACCAGCAGCGAATTGGGTGACACGAGCTGACTTACATTTGCCTACTCTCGGTGAGTGCCTTGAATGTATGCCAGAGATTTGTTTTTACTCGCTGGTAGATGACATAAGCAGTAGTAAGAAAACTGTCATATAAGCATTCATTCTCAGCAAATCATTCTTGAGAGAATTGAGAGAGACAGAGATGTAAGAGGAAGAAAGGAAGCTGAAAATCCGCAGATTCGATCCATTTTGTGTAGAGAGTCTAGAACGAAACGCCTTCGTTAAAGTCCCTCAGGTCTTTCCTTCACTGCTGCCCTCACTACAGCTTCGAACCGGAGCGAGATTGCACAATAATTTTGTCGTTCCATTTATTTAATAGAATATTTCTAACTAATATTGCCGGAAATATGTAGATATTGTAGCGTACAAAAATCGCTGGCAAACAGAACTAGTACTTACGGAAGTATTGACCGTACAGGATTACTTCAGATTGTTATAGTGCGAATAAGAACATTATATCTTTGAAAGAAGATTTACCTGCAATTTTTAACGAACAGTGAAATCCCGATTCTATTAAAAAGCTCATTTAAATAATTAATAGTCAAAATGAATATATACCCTTGTAAAAGAACAAAAGACGATCATCAACTAGGTAGATTTTTAATTTCTAGTTTTTATCATTGTAATGTGATATAAACAAATATTAAATCTTTAGATCTAGTCAGTTTAAAAGATTTAATTACTCCGATCAAATTGAACAATATTTTTAAAAATTATTAGGTATTAAAAAAATGATCAGATCTTAAATGTGTAAATCAGAAATGTCAGGGGTTGTTTACTCTATTAACGCGCGCGCCGTTTTGACGTTATTAATTTATTAACGTTTGAGTAAATATCAATCAATGAATTCAATTGTGCAAGCGGCAGATGAGTTCGCGGAAATGCAGGAAATAAGCAGACCACATAGTTCCGAGATTCACTAACCTAATTGCAAAATAAACAACTTGCTCGTGGATAGCTTGAAATAATTTGGAGATTGTAATTACTAAACCACATTCGAGCTTGAAAGCTAAAAGCTTTCTTGAAGTCATTAACGATATTAATTCGTTAATTTACTTTGGACAATATTTCTGTCCGAGAAATTTTTGATCGAAATTTCGAAAACGCGCCGAGAGGAATAATTTAAAATCCAATAAAGATAAAATACAAGAGTATATTGTTCGCTTTTAAAATTCTCAATTGAACAATCGCTATGTAATCGCAGGAAATATAGGAAGTGGGTTAGTGGTGAAACAACGGCTGAAAGCAGGGGAAATAAAGTTCGTGCTCGTAACAAGCTAACGCCGAAGAGAAGAAGGGGAATGTACGCATACCATCTGAATTATGAGCGAATATCGATTTCTCACTGCACGATTCGTACTTTATCGAGGGCTGCGCGCAAAAATAACCGCAGCCTCGCACTTCGATATTTTTTGTTATCCGTTTACAGGACGATTTTAACTAGCAGCATTGATAAATGACACTGGCATTGATTTTTATATGAATGATTATAATATATATATATTTTTTCTTCGAGCAATAATGAATATCAAATAAAATATGTAGCTCTAATCAATCATATGAAAACGAGAAGAACAAATGGATTATTGAAAGTCAAAACATGGATGCGAAGAATTATCTTCAAAGTCTCTTAATTAGATAAACGCTTCAGTTTTTTCTTAAATCATTCCGGAATATATTAAAAATTCGATTTCGTTATCTGAGAGAATAAATAAAAGAATTTTTGAAGATAATTATTTGCATCTTGTTTTCTATGCTTGGCTCGCATTAATCACTTTCCTTCTCATTTATGTAATATACAACAATTCCTCAAGTTATATCACCAATTTTTGTTTTTCCAAACTACTCGTATTAATAAAATTAATATCCACAATTAAAAGTTCAGTTTCTCGTTGTTATAAATAGTTTATTCATTGATTTATCCAGATATTTTTGGAAAAGATGTCACAAATCCTTTAAGCACAGTTTATGCAATTTAAAATACCGATAAATCCGGGATAAGCAGCTCGTATGTTTGATCTTTTAATAATTTTACAAGATCGTATTGTAATTCGAATATTATCGCGGAAAGTTATTTCAGCAATCGAAAAAAATAAATTTCGATTTTTTTTTTATATGAATACATTTTTTCTGATAAATATATGATATTGATTTCACAAAAAATAAATATATTTTTCTTGCGGACAATTATATGATACTCGTATGTATGAATAATGTATGTAGATATGTGTATAATGGAATATGCTTGCATGCGGTATATATTTCCATCGGGTTGCAAAGGTAGATTAATTAACTTGGTTTACCCCGTTGCGCTTTCTATCATGACGTAACCATGTAATTTTCGATAATTATAGATAGTACATACTCTTTATAGAAAAAGTTGACGTGATGTTTATATTAAAAGAATACTTAAATTAATAAGAATTCTATGTTTAAACAAGATTAGAGATCTATAACTGGATTAAAAACTAATAAAATAGATTATTAAAAAAAGAGGACAATCCAATTTTTTATATAAATGTCTCAAGTTAATTGCATATGTATATATTCACTGAGCGTAATATTTTGCGTGGCACTTTTTGCAAATAATTTTATCTTTACTTATATGTATGTACATATATATGTATATTGTATAATTGTGTTGCTATTATATATAAATCTATTCAAAAAAAGTTTCTGAAAAGCTTGTTTCAGAATGTTTTACTTTACAAAATAAAGTTGGTATTGCTCTCTAAATTATATTCTCAGAGAATTACAAAAAACAGTGAATTGGCAACATCAAAGCAAACCGGGATACGCTCATTTGCAGCACGTGAACTTTTGACCTCGTCCTCCGTGTTACGTCATTAAGTCGTGCGTACGATTTTCGAAATTATTCTTAGTTGCTTTTTATTAATTTTCATAATATTCAAAATCATATTTTAAGTAATATTTGGATTTTTTAAAAATAAATTTAGAAAAATTTGAAAAATTAGAAATTTGAAAGAAATACTTATAGAACTTTAGAAAATTAGAAATTCGAAAGAGAAGTTTGTGATATAATTTCAAAAGTCTGTAGAACAACAGTTGTAGCTTAGAAATTTATTGATTAATTTATTACTTATTAGTCGCTAATATTAACATAATTACTCTCTTTCTATATAATAAGTCTCTTTTCATATATAGATTTATTTATTTGCCTAATATCTATAAAATTGCGGTCAAAATTGTATAAGATAAAATATTCAGTATTTAGTAGTAAAGATTTAGTACAATCCAGTCTAAAAACTAAATACGGAAAAAATCGCCATTATACTTTGAATAAGAAGCAACATTTTATGTTTTACTTCGATTGGATCGATCGGCCTTGCCAGAATCGATCGTTAATTTTGCTCTGGCCAACTGCTCTAAAAATAATTTATTGATTTCATTTCATTAGAACGCGTTGACTATGTATTACTTGTCTTTTTTATACATTGAGATAATTTGTTCCGTTCATCGAACTTTGATCGATCATCAGAATATTTGATGTATGTCTATATTTTTAATGCACCAAAAAAATATGTCATATATATATATTGTAATTAGCGGTAAAAAAATAAAAAAAAGTATTTTTTGGTACAAGATATGTGTCAAAAGTTTGATCGAATTCGAAAGTGGCCTGTCAAGAATTTAAAAAGTGCTTTTTTATATTAGCAATGACTGAAAAATTATCCACGTGGTCACATGATATATAACAAAAAATGATTTACAGTTAAGTATTTATATTTTATTTATTACGTACTTTGTTTGTCGTTTTCTGCATTTATTATTGCAATTGTCACTTTGAGTATTTGGCTAAAGTTCAAGTGACCGACATCATTAAAAGCATGCTCTAAGCTCTAACTCGTATGAACATTAATATATTTCTCGTTTTTTGGAACTTATCGTTATAAAATAATACCAATAATAAGATTTTGGCAATAGAAATAAATTGAAAGATTTAAAATCTAGATTCCTTTAAAATCTTTGTACATTATAGTCTTGTACACCAATTTTTAAAAACTGCGAGTTCATGAAAATATTCATAACATTTTTTTTTATTTATTATGTGTTATATTACGTATCACAATTATTTATTTAGTTTTATTAATATATAATTTATAATTTATTTCTTTATTTACAAATCAAAAAAGCAATAAAACAATGTAAAAGTAATTTACATGTATACCTACATGTACTTAATTACATTTCTAATAAATTTACTAATCTTTTCATTTTGTTCAAATTATTTAAGAGCAACATTTACACAATCTGGTTGTAACTGGCTCGTCTCCAATATGTATCGTTGATGCGCTTAATTTTGAGCGATGCACTTCGTCGTATCATATGTAACATATGCGGAAATTTAGCTAGTGCAATAGGCCAATGGTGCATCACAATACAATATATTTATAAATCGGAAAAATTCAAATTGTATACATAAATTTTTGCATACATATACATATATACATTTATACATGTAAAAATTCAATTTTCTATACATATAAAAATTCAAACATTTTTCAGTTTTGCCATTCATATTAATTTCATGTAAAATTTATTCCATTCTAACATCAGATTCGTATTCAGTAATATAAAAAAATTCTAGTTTATATAAACGTAATTAAAAACTATTTGATAAATTCTCAATGATCTAATTTGCAACGGACTAAATATTTAACCATAGAATATCTTATTAATAATCGATAAAATATATATATTTTTTGAGAATTAAAAATTGTAAAAATACTTAATTTTGTAATTATACATATAATGCAGTTTATAATAACAAAAATATAAAAATCTAGTATTTTATATTTTTAAATAAAAATAATTTTTACAATATTCCAATATAAATTATAATTTTGGTTATTATTTACTACATTTTTCAAAATTGTTTGCGTAAAATACGTAATTAAATATCATCATGCCGCATGTAACAATTATAATATTTATATGTACATATTGTTAAATTATTGATATTATATATTAGAATTTTAACCACAAAAAT